CTATTGAAGCAGTCTGGCTTCCTTTTGTTGTGCATGTATTTTGTGTCAAGATCTGAGCCACCAATATTTGTGTTGCATGAAGTGTGTGGGATTTTTCTTTCTTTTAATACCGCAGTGTAGAATAGATGAATTCTCGGGCATTCATACATGGAAGTTAGACCAGCACTGGACTCTTGAGGACTCCTAAGCCAATGCTTCTTAAACTAGTCCTCAGGGACCCTCCAGACGGTCCACATTTTTGCTCCCTCCGAGCTCCCAGGAAATTAGGAGAGAGTAACAGCATGGACCATCTGGGGACCCTGAGGACTGGTTTAAGAAGCACTGTTCTAAGCCACCTGTTCTGCTCTCTCAGAAAGGGAAGATGAAGGAGGCGGCACAGAGGTACCAGTACGCCCTGCGCAAGTTCCCCAGGGAGGGGTTTGGGGAAGATCTCAAGGCCTTCAAGGAGCTGAGGGTCTCGCTGTACCTCAATCTCTCTCGCTGTCGCAGAAAAACCAATGTGAGCTCAACCTTTTGTTATTGTACCTTGTATATAGTTGGTATTCAGCTATTGCATCAATAGAGTATGTTGTGTATTGTTTAATTTTATGGTACTGTAATTATAGAGGGGTGGTAAGGGAAAATGTCATGGTCGATTAGAAAAAAATATGTGGGAGTGCTGTTCAGTAAAGTAGAGATGTGTAGTAATGAATAATCAACTAGTGCCGATGTGTGAGAAGGAATGGTTTGCAGTTCTGCTGTAGGGACTTTTGGGTGAATTTACCCAAATCCCTTACTGTAGGGTCTTTGCTCAAAGGCAAGCAAGGATGTCACTGACGAAATGTGCAGCGAGCTCTGACCCAGGCAGCGAATTCCAAGCCCAGATGAATCACGGCAGCAATTGTGAAACTGTCAGCTGCCTTTTATGGTGATCTTTTGTGTATGTCGCTCAAGGACAGAATCTCTTTGTTTGCCTTGAGTCAGTCTGAGAAACATCAGAATATAAATATCTCATTACTGGCTCTGCTTTTATATCCATAAAAGATGCATTCTTGTTCCCGCTATTAGTGTATCACCATTAACAAAGAGTTTCTCTTTAAGCTGAGTTAGGGATGGATGTCACAGATGGACAGGTGGACATTCCTTTCTGTGCTCTCAATTTTGATAAAATTGTTATTCTTTAGTCTTGAATCATACGTTAAAAATCACGCTGCACAAAGGCTGCTGACCCGTCCAGTGAGCAGCTTCTGATGACCTCATTGCATGCCCCCTCGCATGGAAGAGCGATAACGGCGGGATTTGGCGGTCTGCTAATGTCACTGAAGCTGTCCCCCCTCCCTTGCGAAACGTTCTCAAAGCCAATCGTGGAGTGATGGCCATTTGGCCCTGCCTTCTCTGGGTTGATAATGCCGGTCTGTGCCTCTTGACAGGACTTTGGCATGGCGGAGGAATTCGCGACAAAGGCTCTCGAGCTGAAACCGAAATCCTACGAGGCCTATTATGCCAGAGCCAGGGCAAAAAGGAGCAGCAGGTAAGACTATTAGTGAAACAGCCCTTGCTTTGTCCCGCTCTCATTTTCCCCCAACGGATGTTCCAGGCTCCACTAGGGGGGTAAATCATTTAGCTGTGTGTGAAAATCCCGCCGCTTAGTCCATTGCCGCCTCCACATAAAAGGGTACCTTAGAAAAAGACTTTGAGGTTTCATTTTTCTTCAGAATGTTTATTGAATATTCACTACAGATGAGGAATAGTACATCACAGGAAGGTTAGGTCCCTTTTCTTAATCCAGTGGTAGATACTTTCTTCACTTCAATGACACACTTCAACCTACTTACCACATTAAATAAGACCTCAAACTGCTGTGGGGTGGTTTGTGCGTAGCTCCTTGGGACTCAAGACCCTGCAGTTAAAATGTTAACATTCCATATTCCAAGCATTCCAAGTTCTTCAACATGTCACTTTGAACAGTTACTGCAGTTTCATGAAATCCAATGAATTTAGCACTAAATTTTGAGCCAAGTTAAGCATAATTTAAGGGGCTCCATGGAGGGCTTGCCAAGAGCAATAGCAGTAGCTACTCTACTGGTATCTGGTCTTTATGGATGACCAGAAACTTTGTGGTTGTTTACTGAGCACAACAACAGTTCCATAGCAGAAGGTACTTCTGTAACCCCGAGATGTTTAACTGGTGACACTAATGTTGGATCACTCGCAAGGATGGAATCTCGAAGTTGCTCCAGCAGCCGCCTTATTTTGTGGAACGAACACGGCATGTTGGCTTTGAGCCGCCTCACTGTATGGTCTGTTCTCAACCAAATACAAATTGGCCTAATGTAGCGTGTGTGTATGGTTTTGGCTTATTTCATAAACAAGGTGTGGAAGATGTTGTCCTAGTGCCAGACTTAATGAAACGCATTCCTGAAGTCAATGAGGCATGCAAAAATACACAACCTCTTTAAGTTCCACGTTTGTGATTATTGTGTTATCGGTTGTTCGGCATTGTCAGTGGAAAGACAAGGTATCATTTTGTTGTCAGGAAGACCTACGATTTGGCATGGGGAATATTGCAGAAGTCGCTCCTCCTCTTTGACTACTGAGAACGTGTCACGTTTCTCTCCGCAGGCAGTTCACCGCCGCGCTGGCTGACCTACACGAGGCCGCCAAGCTGTCCCCCAACAACCGCGAGATCCGTCGGCTGCTGGCGCGCGTCGAGGATGAATGCCGGCAGCTGCAGCGCACGCAGCAGAAGCCGGAGCCGCCCGGCCACGACTCCGACGATGAGGAGGGATCTGCCGATCACATGCCAGAGAGGGAGCTACAAGGCCAGAGCCCACCAGGGCCAAAAGACGGTGATAAACAGGAGCCTTCCCAGCAGGGCTGGCAGCAGAACAGTAGCTCCCTAAATAGGACTGTAGATCCGGCAGCCCCTGCGGCTCAGGACTCTGGGCCCGCCTCGCCTCCCAGCAGGCCGGCCCACAAGTACCTCCGGGAACCCGTGACCCAGGAGGGCCTGGTGCTCCAACCTACCAAGCAGGCCCAGATCATCAAAACCAACCAGCACATGAACTCCCTGCAGGCCGGGGGCAGGTCCCATTCCCAGTACCCTTCCTCCAGCCCCCTGCCCAGCCGGCACCTCTCTGGCGCGCTCCAGCTGAGTCCCGGCATTGACATCAGCCCACTGTCCCCAGATTTCTCAGGGTTCGCAGAGAGCCCGGCTTCATCCACCCTCCACCACGACGGGGAGAACTGTGGCTTCCCTAAAGCATCCGAAAGGCTTTCTGCTCTGTCTGCATCCTCCCTGGACGCGCTGTCGGGGACGTCCCCATCAAAAGCGAGCCAGGAAGCAGCGGCACTGGGACCACAGGCCGGGATGATGAAGGTCTCCAGTTCCACTGGCAGCCTGGCATCCAGTAGCAGCCTTTCAGACAGCGGAAAGCCGCAAGGCGCAGACGTGCGTGCCAAGACGGTCGGGGACAAGGTCCGGCAGGCCCAGAGTGGGGGGACAGAGTACAAGCCCCGCCCCTTCATGGGGATCACAGACAAAACGGCGAGGTTCCAGCAGCTGCAGCAGCAGCAGCAACAGATGCAGCACCACCACCAAGGCCGCAGCTGGCAGAGTCAGTCCTCAGAGGGCCTGGTGGGCCATGCCACAGGCCCGCAGCCCCTGAACTGTGAGCTGTCATTCAGTAGAGGGGGGAGCGCCTACCAGGAGGCCTTCACCAGCCCATCTCAGGGTCCCACAGGGGGCCTCCACAATGGGACGCACGCCAAGGAGCTCGCCGAAAGGTTCTGTTACAAGGAGCCCAAGCTGGCCGTGGGTGGGCCGCACCCTCTCTCAGACGGCAAGCCCAGAGAGAACCCTGCCATTCATGTTGCGGCGATGAAACCAAAGCGATCCTTTATAGAGTCTAACGTTTAAGTCATTCATCCAATTTTTCCTGGGTGGCTTTAGTCTGGGTTTTGTCTCCTCCCTGCTCCCATATACTTTATAGTAGATTTAAAGCTTCTAGGTCTTGTTTATATTTCTCCAGTCATCCTGTCTGTGTCAGGTGAGTGACCAGGCCTCCTCAAGCTTCTGTTTGGAGCTGCAGGCCATCCTGGTATCCAGCCAAGCTGGAGACCCCTGCCAAGATGTTGGTAAGGTGCACACAGGAGGGAGAAATGGCAACGGCACTTTAAATTGGGCACGGGACAGGCATGTCAGCCGTGTTGCCTGTTGGGCTGTGGTGGTCTCAAGGAGCTGTTCCTGTTTGAACACATGGTGCTCACTGTGAAGAAGGACATTTACAGCTGGGTGCTGCAAATCCTCACACATGTACATAAGCTTCCCCTCAAGTGAAGGCTGTCATTGTGAATACCTTTGTCTGTTTATCTCCCTCTCCCCTCCCCATTTTGCTTCAGATGGTGTTGAAGGTTCTTAATGTTTGTCTGTATATTGTAAAGTTGCCCTAATAATGCTTAACCAAGTCCTTTCTCTACCTGCTTGTCAGTGCTGTCTAGGTTAATTTATTTACAGCTTCATCAATTGTAAAAGCAATATTTTCTATAGTTATTTTTGCACAGCTACTCCCACCTTTCCAAGGACAGGCTCTGCTGAGACGTGCATGCTACAGGTGCAGTTTATAACGAATAAAAACATTTAGCGGTCGGCCCATTACCATCATACAATTGTTGATATTCTTCAAACCAGTGTTGTACTTCCCTCCCCCCCACAATATGGCGAATTGCCATTGCAAAGGTGGTTAAGGGGCCTTTAGCTATATGTCTCCCCGTATGTTGTGTCTCAGCTGCCATGGTCTTGTCAGAACAGAGTCATGTTACTGGACACTTTTCCTTCATAGTATCTTGTGACCTTGCTAGTGTGGGTCTTTTTCCGATGCACCAATGTGAATGTAAGTACTTGTTCAGTTTTCACTGGGGTTGGAAAAACTGGTAACTGCAAAATTGTATCATCACAAGGCAGGGTGCTTTGAATTCAGAAAGAAACTGGTTTTTTGATCACACCGTACTGTATCAGAGGATTGGGTGACATGGAAAAATTTAATGGTAGGTCTAGAATTCATTGACCTAATTTTCAAAGCAACACTGAAGTAATCTTTCAGACAATGGATGGAAGCAGTGGTGCTGAAGTACATCATGCCAGCTAGATACCTTGGGTCTCTTAATTTGTCTACACTTACACCAAGTTCATTACTACACTGTTTGATTACTTGTATAACCGATAAGTACCCCAAAAGGTTTACTACCAAAGAATTTCTACTTATTCCCAGTTCTATACCTGGTGCAATAAAGAAACACCCCATGGTGTCCAAGGTCTTTAGGTAATTGAGCATAAACAAGCTAGAATCTTTACACACATTCAGCCTTTCCAGGCTGGCACAGTGGTTAGCCCTGTTGCCTCACACCTCTGGGACCAGGGTACAAGTCTCCATCAAAGAGTAGAGCATGGGGTCCCCCCCAAGTTTGAAAACATGCAAATTGCCTGTAATGATGTGAGTGTGCCCCAGCCTGTGTTGTTCCCTGCCTCACTCCCATAGGACCCCCTGCAACCCTGAATAGGGTAAGCAGTTAAAGAACATGCATGGATGGATGCAACCTTCCCAGCATCTATGGTTGACTGGCCTTCCAGCGACCAATGGCCATCTTGAGTGTCCTGTTTGGAGTCAGTACTGTGGTTTGCAGAGGCAAGTTTGTCATGGGACTGGAACGATTTCTGCTGCTGATCCAACCTTCAATCGCGTCCCTCTCGTAGGAATAGCCATCTGTCACAATAAAAACCCACACAGTGACATCACTGTATACTACCAGCCAATTACTCAAAGGTACAAAACACTACTGACATTAGGGCTCCCTGAACCTGTACCTACCTGCTGCTATGACTGGATCCTTCATCATCTCTCTGGTGATTGGACACAGAAACTCATCAGGGACACCTGTACAGACCATGGACATCTTCAGCTCCTCCACCTTCCTCAACAACTTGTTGCGTAGGCCAACAGAATCTAAGACAAAAAAAGAAACAGGACACAAAAAACTGACTAATGCACCATCTACACCGGACTCACTCTGGTGATTAATGACATTTCATCTCGTACTGAAACAGCCAGGCATAATTAGCTGTTTTGTGTGACGACAAAGGACAAAAGGCTAAAATAAAGCTGTCTGGATTACTCCAAACTATTCTGCAGGACCCTCTGAAAAACATACAACATGGTTTCAGACTGCTTTCCTTCATCTTAAACCACAGCACGATCAACCATTCAGAAACCTTTATAGAAATGTACACTAACACCTTACAGTTCTTCTGGATTCATGTAAACATATATGCATTGGTATTAAGAGATTAACCAATAGGTAAAAACTTCATAAATAACTATAAAATGTTAATCTATATAAGATGCTTAGCATTCAATAAAAAAAAATCAAAAAAAGCCTCAGGCTTGACGTTACTTAACCGCTTTTAAAGAGCCCATAAAATAGTGCCTTTGCCTAAGGGTGTTAAAAGAAGGACAATACAGTAAAATGTGTTTAAAAGCAATTTTACATGTGGTAAAAAAACCTCTAAGTAAAAACATGAGCCTTTCTGGTGCCCCATAGGACACCATGTCTAGATGACCAGGTCCCACAATTTTTAAAGTTAACTCTTGTCTAAACGAAAGTAATTTCCAACATAGTACATGCCAGCGCTCACATGGCTGGAACAGACCAACACTCTACTATACTTCACGCTGCAGATTTATATCTAACCTGACCGCCCATCCATGACTATACAGATACACAACCCAGGAACAGAGCATTCCTCTACTGTCTCTGATAATATCAACCCCTTATATCCCCCTTCCCACTAACTAACATTCCAGAGGACATGAAGTCTGCTGTCCACTTATATATGTATGTGTGTTTGTATTTATATATCAAATGAGACGCACACCTCTAACAACCCGATTCCCTTACCGACTTTGAGCTCCGCGGTCAGGGTCTCCTTCGTCAGGCCAAGGAGCTCGACGCCGTCGATGTTGTTGGCCTTAAAGGTGCTGACCAGCGCCTCCAGCCCCTCCTCGCACAGCCAGGCTGAGACGTTGTCTTCTGACCAGTCACTCGCCAGCAGCGTCACGCAGCCCCCGGATTTCCTCCCTGAGAAGAGAGCCGAACAACAAATACCTTTCCCAACAACCACCAAACCACCCAGCAATCTTCTGCAGACAGCCCCCTGCGCTGCCAAACTACCACAGAAAAAAAAAAAAAAAAAGCCATTAGCATCAAGCAAGGACTAATTTGATTCTGCATTACTATGCATCCTGTCCTTATCTACAACTCCTCACAATGACATTTGTGCATCCTGTGAATATGCATCACCCCCCACTCCACATCAAATACGACCTTCCAGTGACATTGTTCAAGCCACCTTAGTTTTTCAGAGCAGCAGACACACACACACACATTCCACCATCAGGCCTGGTGAGAAAGCTTCCCAGGGAACATCTCATTAACCAGAGCTTATATGCATTTTCCACTAGCACTCTCCATCGTCTGACCAGACACATGAAACAAATTCCAAAACGGCGAACACTAGGGCTGTTCATCAAATTCTAATTTCAATTACGATATTGGCTTCCAACGATTACCGGCACAATGACGCTCCCGTTTTCTCTCGTTAATCCAGTGCCCCCCTTTCCAGCCCCTTTTTCTTTCTCAGTTGACTTATATGTAGAGTTCAAGGAAATCCACTGTTACAAACACTGTACACCACAAAACCATACTAAGAGAAACTGCGCCGATGACAACCATACAATTAAAGAGGAACAAACATCTTTACAGGCAAACTGACAATTCAGCCAGTCACCACACCAGCCCTCAAGTGTTACTCTACTGCTTCAACGTGCAACTTCCCTACCAAAGGCAGGCCGCCTGTTTTACTTCAAAATAACACAAACTACTTCGAAATTTCACTCAGTCTTCTCCACACTACACATCTGCTCCAACTCCACTTTATCAAGAGCGAAAGTTTCTAAACGACAGCCAATATTTCATCAGCAATGGAGAAACCCGCTGAAATACTAATGCCACTGGCATCTTGAGGCGCGTCATAAATGTCAACAAGGATGCACAAACAGACCTTTCATTTTCCCCACTAGCTCAGAGCAAAGCAGCTTCAGTCACTCTCACCATCTGCTGAAGCCTTTAAAATTACTGCACAAACGACTGGCGGGGAACAGGACAGCAGAACGCCTCCCATACCTACACGTGACAACCCGGCTGACAACAAGGCTACGAAATATTGTATTACTTCAGAAAATATACAACTTAGCATACTATGATTTCTTAGACGACAAAGCCATCCTGAGCTATTACATTATTCTATGGAAATACAGAATGCGCTCGTGATGTACATTTAAATTACACCAATAACTGCATCTCACACTATATCACATGACCCATACATCCTTCAATACATCTGTTTATATAGAAGAAAAATGAAGGAAGCCATTGCCTCCACATACTGTCAACACTTCTGTGCTATTTACTGACACTAAAGCCCCTTCAGGTCCTTCCATATAACATTACCGCCATCCTTCAAACAGCAAAACAAGTCAGGGACAAAATGACTTCTCAGTTACCAGGAGGGATGTCACTTCTCACATCCCAAACACAAGACCCTTAAGTGCCTGATCCCTTTTCATCTCCGCTGGATCTCCATCCCTTCTGCAATCACAGAGTGACCAATCACAAATGCAACGGCAGGACTCACCAGGAACGGCCTTTTCCTCATTCCCTAGGGAGTCACGGCAACAGGGAGAAGAAAAACCATCAGTGTGGGCAATAACAGACATCTGTGGCACAGCGGGCTTGACAATCCTCAGCTACAGCTTAGGCAGCAGTCTGTACACATGCTGTTCACTCTGTGCACACTGGAGTGGAATAACCCTATTGGTCAGCTGTCCTGTGACTCTTTTCAGGTTAATTAGAAAGCCACCCCCATCACACTTTGTACCACCTGGACCCCTACAGAGACCTACTGCTATCATCTCTATATTTCCCCCCCGCATTCGCCAGCTGCAGTTAACTGCTCTGCAGTCCACTAGGGGGCGACCTCCTCACTGCATAAACCAGGGGTCACCAACATGGTGCCCGCGGGCACCAGGACGCCCCCAAGGACCACATGAGTCGCCCACTCACCAGTGAGCAGCATCTACAATTTAATTTTATCCTGTTGCTATTCTTCTTTAATCACATTTGAAATTATATAGATTTGAAAATGACAATAAAAAAAAAAAAAAAAAAAAAAGCATAACTAAAGGTAAACTGAGCAAATTTGTTATTTAAGAAGAGCGTATCAAACCAGTAGCCCTTCGTTTGGCTCAGTACCCGTGAAGTAGCTCTCGGTTTCAAATAGGTTGGTGACCCCTGGTTAGGGCTGGGCGATATCATATCGCGCATGTGCAGTGATCAGCAGGGCTTCAGATGACAGACGAAGCGTTTGGCCAAGCGCCAACTGTTCGGTGCTATACGGACATTAATTTACGCCCATAATTTGGATTAGTAGTATGTCAAGTATTAATGAGATTCATTTTGTGATACCCAAAAGTTAGTAATCTGTATAAACTTTATGTTTCTTAAATTCGATTAGCGGAGGACCCCACATAATACTGTTTTGGTATACTACGGTTTGGTATACTACGGTTTGCTATACCTCAGTGCAATATGCACTGAAGTCCCGGTGAAGAAGAGCAGCCACATCATCTTTTAAAAAAGAGGAGATCTTGTGGATAAACAAGGTAAAAAGACGTCGGCAGTCTGGTGGTACTTTTTGCAGTTCAAAGTCTGACACATTTATTAAACATAAGGATATGCCATATTTATACTAATAATGACTTTTGGACGCCATACAAAGCCTCATTAATATTTTAGCCATACTACTAAACTGCTTAAATTGTGGGCGTTAATAAATGTCCGTATAGCACCGAAAAGCTTGCGCATGACCAAATCTCATCTGAAGCCCTGGTGATTATTGCACATGCGTGATGCAATATCGATATATCGCCCAGCCCTACCCCTGGCATAAACAAACTAACCTATGGCCAGCATTATTAAGCTGCAGTGATGACCAGCTCCACATATGGGCCAGTCACACATCAATGGGAAGTGTCTGTTATTCATGAAAAGCACAATGCTATTCTACCCGCCAGACCTTGGAACGGAAGCAGGGGATACACACCATGCTCACTGCTCCCGTCCAGCAGCCTCCAGACATTCACAGTCTTATCCATGGAGCCTGTGGCGATCAGGGCCGCCGTCGGCGAGAAGGCGCAGGCCGTCACGTACCTGCGGCAGAGGGTCGTGGGACTTACAGCAAGGCCGGGCACCACGGGAGACCGGAGCAGATGGAGACAGCTTACAAGCAGAATGCTTCACCTCTCATGCTGCTTCAGAGTGTAGAGCAGGAGCCCTTGGTGCTGAAAGAGCACAGACACACACATCCCCATCAATCGACAGCTCGTCACAGTACTGCCGCCCAGGGCCCAATACGGAGGCGGGGCCGCAAGTCCAAGCTGAAAGCTGATTGGCCACCTCCCCTGCCACTCACTGAGTCTAACCATAATAATGATAGGGTTAGCCCCTCTTCTACCGGCACCCCCCCCCCCACCTTATAATTCGAGAGTCACTCATGCTAGCAATCTAAAAACGACAGGTTACTTACCGCATCATAAACTGCCACAGTTTTATCCACCGAACTGCAGGGAGACAGGCTTTCAGTAGCGTGAAACGTACAGATCACGATACACAGGCCTGGGTAGCATCTGCATCTTTAATATGCCTTTACTAAGCATTCCATATAAATCAAGGCAATAATCATCTGTAATTGATAATGACACTGTACTTGCTAAATTACACGCCGCTTTTTTCCTAATACAAACACAAGCAATAATCATGGTAACATTACTGAAACAGGCCAATTACCAATATAATACAGACGTGACCTTTAAATCGCACATATGGCTGAGAGCATAACCTCAAATGACACACACTCACTAAAAAATAGGCTAAATTCAATTAATTTCATGAACAAAATTTTCAAAGCCGACGCACAGAAGCCAAATCACCGATTCGGGCTCTGAAATAAGCAGGAGTGATTCAATCACATGCACAGACCTCATCATTTAACCAATCACAGCTACTTACCACACTTCCAACCATTTCAAAGCCATTCAAGTACACTTTCATACAGGCACTTTGAAGGGCAGACACTGTCAGGCCCCTCACTCTGGATACATTAGTACAGCTGTGCTCTCCATCCTGCTTTCTGGACCAGCGCGACATGCAGGACCTGCTTACCCCGACACAAGCAGCTGCCCGTCAGCAGAAAAGGCGCAGGACAGCACCGGTGCCGACTGCCCCGTCAGCGTGTGCAGGAGACGCAGCTTACAGCCTGCAAATCAATCCCACACATCAGCTCCCCAGACCTCAACCGACGTCCAATCAAATCCCTACGATCAGCCCCATTCCCTCACAAAGGATTCTGGACCAACAAAATACATCTAAAGTCCTTGTTAATAAAAACCCAACATCTAATAATAATCAGTCAAACATTATGCTGCATCACAACGCCACGCGGTTCCATCGATATTCGTCTGTTATCCACGGTGACAGAATCTCCCAACACAAACAATTCAAACATTCTGAGCACCATCAGCAAACCATCTGCTCTTCATCATTTGTCTACAATCAGATGTGCTCCAAAAGCCTCCAGCTGCTCAGACGACTGAAATTAAATGTCTCGGTTGCACTTAGAGAAGCACAAGTACAACAGATATTAGCATCCTGCTGACAGAAAGAGCAAAAAATCCTACAGAGCTGCTAGAAAAATACACAAAGGCCATGTTGCACTGTCTACCAACATTCTCCATCTTGGGGTTTGACGTGCGAGTCCATAGCCGACGGCAGAGAGCTGATACACCATCAAAATTCACACAGGAACTTGACACGGTATGTAAACCTGATACCTAAATATGTAGACAGGCAGTGCAGAAGTCGCTCTCAGAATTTCATTCACACATACAGCACCTGCGACAGAAACTTCTGATGCATTTAAAGATAATATAAAGGCTAAACAAACTACTCTTAACAAGGGTGCTACCTCAGGAGGACACTACAAAGAGCTCTGGGTCCACATCCTTAGCCGTCACTCTACCCATTCCTCCAAGGTCATGTGCTATTAACAGCAACATCGTTACTGCATTATTAACAAGGCTTCATGAAGTGCTCATTAGATGATCCACGCAAGGGCCAGACTAGCCTCGCACAGTCGCAACTGCATCCAGGGTGGCGCCACCTACCTGCCGGCCCGTGCCACAATACGGTCCATATCTTCAGCAGGCTGTCCTGTCCACAGGATCCCAAACGAAAGTGCACAGATTGGCCATCTGAGGAGCAGGGGAACACGAAAAGAGCAAAAGACATCTGTACTCTTTATCTAAGCCAGACTAATTATCCTAGACACTGCTAAACCATAAAGCCTGCATTATAAAGGGGTGCAAAGCCAAATACGTTACACTACTGCACCCACTACCTATGCCATTAAAGTTTAACCCACTAGGATCGTAACAGTACCATATGGTACATCATTTTTGGATCGGCACCAACAATGAACTTAAATTCAAAAGTAACATAGAAAACATGATACTAATTGTAGCTGTGAGTTGGCTTCGGATGGTGCTGGAGAGCCAACCATGTCACTCAAAAGTAGTTTGCGAACAGTTTTACTTCCAGATAAACTACACCAGCACTGCAGAGAGAGTAACTGATAAGAACAATAATGTGTTCGCTCCGTTATACCAAAATCTGATAGGTGGCTGGAAACACATCAACAGGCGAACTCATCTGAGACCACATCTGCGTGCGCAACCGGAGCAAAAGGCAGAAAGAGCTGATCCAAGTTACTGTTACCATGGCATCTAAAGCACTTTTGCTGGGAAATTTAGACCAGGCTAAAAAATAATTACTTCTATAGTGGTGTTTACCAATACAGATATGCAACCATACTCCGTAGTAGAGGGGATTTAGATGGGATTTAGTTGATTATGATTTTATATTTTTACATTTATTTTACATACTTTAATCTACGATGTGCAAATAAGCATCTTTAGTTTTATTTAGACACATCGACGGCTGCATTGCCATTTGTTTTCAACTTAATTCTGTTTGCCTGCAGTTTTAATAACTTTCAAAATAATTTGTTTTCCCTGCTGTACCAAAACCGCACCGAACTGTTGAACCCAAAACCAAGGTTTGTATTGGACCGTGAATTCTGTGTGCCGTTACATCCCTACCACACACATATACGGTCATGGTTTAAAAATAGCCCTCTGGGCATTATCATGCACCACAGAAACGACTAAAAAACCTTATTCAGGCATAGCCCCAAATTTAGCAGTCTTTTCAAATAAGGGTAGGTTCTTGGAGCAAGTATTCTGAATATTTATAAAAAGTTCTGCTTCACAGAGGCAGGGGCAATCAACACAACACCAACTGCCTGACTGTTCTGTCTTGCTTCCTCTCTGCACAAATCCTGAATTTGTTCTTACAGGAACATGAGTCTTTGTCACAACATATAGTAAGAGAACAACCTAGCTGCCACTTAATTTACTACATGTGTTACCAAACTGACACAGACTCCTTTGAGACTGCAGAAATACTTAAGCCCTGAGTTCTGCTAGCACCATTTCTCTATATCCCCCCCACCCCGAAAAAAAATAAAAAATACCGTGCTAAGACAGTGTTTCCCAACCCAGTCCTCTGTTACCCCCAGTCTCCCTCCCAGCACACCTGTACCAGGTATTCTGTGTTCTCCACTTCATGATTAGGATGTGCTTGGAGCTGGGAGGGGGGCAAAAATTTAGATTGTCTGGAGGGGTCCCCGAGAACTGGATTTAGAAACAATGCACTAAGACATCTCGATTATACTACTGAAGTGCAAAGTTACTGCTGGCAGAGGAACCCTGGCCAGTACTACAGTATGGATGGATGGACCATCTTCAGTGTTCATTCTATATAAAAATTAGTAACACCAGGGGGCACCAATGTCAGCACTAAAGTACAAAGGTCAGAGCAGCAGAAGTTACTCTCTGCGCTATACTCACCACTCTGGACCTGAGGAGCAAAATGGCAACAGGCTACCCCCAGGTCGTGGGCGTTCTTCACTACATGGAGCTGGTTGAGATACAGGTCCCACAGCCGGAGATCCCCATAGGTGGACCCAGTAGCCATCATCTGGCCACACGGAGTGAAGCTGCAGGCCACCACAGCTGTCTCGCCCACAGTTGCTGTCCTGGGGACCATCACACATTCCTACTTAGCTGGAGTCAGACCCCACCTGCTTAGTATTCATTTACACCCACAGGGTACAATCCAAGATGCAACTGATTTGAACTGGCATGCACCTCCCAAGCACTACAATTCTCTTCAAACACATGCAAATGTCTCAAACGCCCAGAGTGTGTCCGTAGCCATCCAGCTGTTCATAATACAGAACTGGATGATTCTGACAGGCGGGGGGGTAGCCGGACATTCTGAGCCCCCTGACAAAATGTCACCTTGGGGCTCCCCACCCCCCCTTATTTATTTGCTCCACTTCCCCAGAGGTGCAGCGACAGGACCAGGCAGGGCAGGCAATGGCCTGGGGCCCCCCAAGTTGGGAAGGGGAGCCCCAAGGGCGGTCGATTAGATAGCACATTGCACCGATAAATCTGCTTTATTTGTGTGTTCTGTTTTTCACACTAAAGTGAGAATAAAGGATCTGTGTATTCAATTCTCTTTGTTGATATGATTAATTTACACTTCACAGTAAAATAAAGGGAATACATTTTACCATGCTGGGGGAGGGGCAGTTGGGGGGACCCATGGAGTTTTTTTTTTTTGCCATAGGCCCCCCAGAGTCCTTAGAAACGCCTATACACTTCCCTAAACTGAACTTGAACAATGTCGACGTCATTGAAAAATCACCCGAATCTGCCTTCTTAACGTCCAGCTACTTACTTGAGTAACGCCTTAGACTGGAAGTCCCAGACCGCCAGTGATCCGTCCGAGGCGCCCGACACCAGGTACGAAGTGCCCGGGGCAAAAGCGCAAACCCTAACGGGACTGCGGCCGGGATGCTGGAGCACCGCGACGATGTCGCCGCTCTCCATGCTCCACACCATGGTCGTGGCGTCCGTGGAGCAGGACGCCAGGTAGCGGCCGCACGGGCTGAAGCAGCAGCAGTGCACGCCGTAGCCATGGCCGGCGAGTGGAGAGAAGGGCAGCTCGGAGAAGTCGGCGGCCGAGTAAACGCGCACTGTCTTGTCCGTGGAGCAGGTGGCCAGGAGGCGGACGGAGAAGGCGCAGCAGTTCACGTCATCGCGGTGGCCCTGCAGCGTGCAGACCAGGGACACCATTTTCACGGCGCGCCTCGGTCCCTAAAAACACCGTAACAAGGAAGAATAGCGGTAAACAAACGCACTTTTATGCAAGATGGCGCAGCTCGGCTGACAACAAACAGAAGTGCACCGACAAACTCCTTCTGCTCGTTGACAAAATTACTATATACACTACAATTAACACTAACGTTTCATACGCTTCCTGCGCTAAGCTGATTTTTTATTTTTTTTTGCGTGGTACACAAACACGTACAACCCGGTAGCATATTTGCAAACTCAGAGCAATGGAGATATACGTGACCGCCGATTAACTTTAACCGAACTGAAAACAAATACTCGTCATGCGCCCAGAATGGTAACAAAACAGCTTTTTCATAAAAGCGAGCCAACTGCCCACCTTGGCTTGCGGATCCCGGGTCGCCGACTCGGTGTTTTGGTGAAGGACGGTCACGTGACGCCGCCCAGGGCTCCTGCGGGATGCCCACGCACTGCCGTTTACGCTATACGTATATTTACACAATACTGTAAAAATACTGCGTGAATATAACACATAACCTCATTTGTTTCACCTTGCAATTAAAAAGAAAACTTTTTTTTATCTGATCATCTAAACGTTAAGACGACGACTCACACTGTGTTATGGTGGGAATAGTCATGTGACAGGCAAGTTGTACTTGAAATCAGCCACAGTATTCAAAGGCTTATCAGGCCAAAGGCACGTATGACTCTTAAAAATTGCGAGGAATTCATTTCTTCTGGTGTCTCACAATTGCAGGGTTGCCAGCTTTGGTCAGCTGGCTGGAGAGAGATTTTCAATTCTAGACAAGTCTGTCCACACATGCACACTCATTTACATGTATGTAACAGTTTTATTAACTTGTAAATATTCTGTAGGTTTTGCAAACTACCCCAACGCTTTCAGTGGAGCTAATTTTAGGTTTATAATGGAATAATATAGATTTGCACTAAGCTTTTTTGCGTATGCGTTAGAGTCTGAAAGAATAAGTGTCACTCCATATGTGTGAGTTGGCAACCCTGCAAATGATAAAATGTAGCATTGAGCTATGATTTATTGAAACTTCCACTGGTAAAATTTCACATCAAAATCAACATTGTGAACACATAGTGACTGACAAATGTTTATGGGTTGAAAAACATCTCTTTATTAGATCCGTGCCACACACACTAGTGAAAAATAATGCTTCTACAAAAGGAATGCTAGCTTTCCGTTTTCCACAATATCTTTAAATAAAATAACTTCAAGTACTCTGACGTAGGTACAAAAAAATCTGCTCTAGCTGCCCCCAGTAGACCACGACACACAGCAAGATTCAAACACAGTGGTTACAAATGTCCTTGTGTCTGTGGCAAGGCAGATGGAGGGAAATGTTTTTTTTTATGAAAAATACTGTGCAACACGATATAATTCATATGGATAAGAAATGATTATGTCGGAATCCGAGGCCTGGGAGGGTTAAAATTATACAAAAATAGAAAAAAATGGAGGGAAAAAAAAAAACAAGTATCCCCTACACCCTGTTGAAAAGGCAGGCACTACCAAGATTAAGGAGACCACAGTGTTTGCAGAGGATAAGTACTGTACAAGCAATATATGTTTAATCACTTTAGGGCTAAAATAAAATGCTACAGTCATTCTAAGGCATAAACCATATCTGATGTCTCAAACAATATGTACACATCATACATATTCCAAACAAGACTTAATATTAACATTAATGAACAGTATATACAGATGTGTCTCAGTTGCCTTAATGTCTTACACAGTTGAGTGATGCAAAAACATCTTTATATATAAATGCAGCTTTACAGTATTACCGTCATGGATCTTTCGGTGCCGTGGAGGCACTGAAAAGTGTAAACAGTTTTTTTTTTTTAAAATCTATTTTTTCCTTTATTCTTGGCTTTGTTTTTATAATTGAAAAACATTCCTTAAGATTTTAAAGCAGTTTTTGCTGTTTCTTCCTTTTCATAGAAAACGAAGACTGGACTTGTTAACTCATAAATAATTAACAAAATTAAATACATTCACTATAATATTAAGGGTAAAGTAAAAACAAAAAAAATTATATATATATAATATTTGTAAATATTATATATATTACATATAAGTAGTGGAAAGTGTTCTTTCCCAATTACAGCTCTGATGGTTGTAAATTCAGTGCAGTTTCTTATAGGAAATGGTATTGCACTAAAACACCCCTGTGTTGAACTCTATGGGGTCGTTTTCCCTGTTTTTGCCAAACCAGCGTCGTATATTAGTGACCAACATAATACAGGAACTCTCGTTTTTGAAAGAGAGAGATTACAGTCGCACGCTTTTGAGATACACCTCAGTACGACTCTCACAAGAGGTCTGCTCTGAAAACTGAATCAGAAACAGCTGGTCCCAGATAGTCAAGGTAAACAGGTTTAGGTTGTTTTTAATAGTTCAGTCCAGCGTCTCTCGAAGAACTTCCTCATGTTATGGCCGGCCCGGCCGATATCAGAATTATCTTCGTTGAACTTCTCACAGTTATCGAAAACCAGGTTCACGTCGATGATGAATGTTTCCAGGTTCTGATACCTGCAATAGAATTTGAAGAAGAGATAATCACTGTTTTGCCATATAAACACAGACACACACATTATCAAGCTCAAACTTTTCAATATGTCTTACAACATTTGGATTGTAAGTCTTATACAGGCCAATTTCATATGCGTCTCAATAAGGGAGGTACACACTGGTTGTTGCTGAGCTTCTCACGGATGGTGGAGAAGTCCATGGGCTTCTTGATCACCTTCTTGTAACCAGGAACCGACTTGGGGTTGACCGGAGTGAGGAAGGGCCAGGCATCCTGGTGGCTCTCCAGCTCAGAGAGAAGAATGCTGTGGGCAGCAGGAGGCAACACGCTGTGGCTAAACATGTTCATAAACCTTGGGCACATTCCTGCTGGTTACAGGTTCAGCAGGTAGAGGCCCCACTCCCTGTGTGTGGTTTTTGCATGTTAGGCCAATGTTGTAATCTAAGGGCGTGCAGTTGGGCTGTCATCTCTAAATTGTAAATATAACTGGTATGTCTTTGTCTTTTTCACTTGAACTCTAATTGCACGTGACCACTTTGTATTCTATTCATAAAAAAATTTATGTGAAATTTCTGTTTTATATCTTTATAGTGCACCATGGGGGACCTGTGTGGAACGACATTTCAATACACTGTATACTGTGTAGATTGTTGTATTGACAATAAACCAATCTTGAATCTTATGTGTAATTGTGAGTGTGATTTTGAGTCAAATTGTGGATTCCTGATCAACCAATTACACTCTTCTGAATTCCTGGACTTTACCTGCACAAGACCAGGTCCTTGCAATTGTCTCTGCCCGGTTTCATCTTCTTCACAGACGAAGGGCTTTCTGGTTTCTGGTTGCCGGAAGGGCTCTCCTCCACCTTCCTCTTCTTGGGGTCTTTTGTCCCTTTCTTCGGAGTTCCGCTTGCACTGGCAGCATCGTCCTCTGAGATCTCCCCCGCCACAGACAGCTTCCTGTTCCGCTTTGCCTCGCAGTTTTTCTTACCCACCAGTGGTCGACACTGCAGCTTCTTGCTCTTTGGGGACTGCCCACTAGCCTAGGACGACACCCAAAGGCTGGTATCGCATACATGCCAAAGACCAAACATCTTTCTGGGAAGCTTCTACAATTGTACAGCAGCACGACTCACAGAGTGACGTGTAATCTTTGAGAATGGCATCTCATTCTACATTTCTCATACTTATAAATTCTTAAATGAAGCTTGCAGGAGTTTTGTTGCCTGGTATTTACTGTCCTGATGTGAATTGTAGGTCTGGACTGAGGGCTGGTTACCTTGGATATGCAGGCAGGACAGAACCAATCGCCCTCAGGGATCGTGGTGATTTTGGGTCTATGGCAGTATGTGTGACATCCTTTGTCACAGCCATCGCAGAGCAAGAGGAGTTCCTCATTATCCCCCTTCCGGCAAATTTGGCAGTACTGCAACACATGTCAAAGTTCACTCCGTGATTTCAAGATCACTAGCAGAAGCCAAGACTCCAGAGTGACGTTACCTGGAGCACGCCAGCTCTACTCACAACTTTCATGATGGACCTCTCCCAAGCGATGGACTTCTGCAGCTGCTGGATACAGAGGGCCAGCTGGGCAGCACTGCGCACCTCACTCAGGGCCTTGCGCCACACCTTCATCCCCGGGGCAATGTCTTCCTCGCTTCTGTGGTGGAGGGGGAACAGAAAACAGAAACAACGTGAACCAGGGACACCAAGGGCACCATTCACCACACTACTGAGACAACCAGGATCACCATCGGCAGCAGAGCACAGAGCCACGGGGGTAGGGGGTGGGGAGCAAAACATACAAAATAAAAAGGGGGTGGGAACATCAAAGCAGCCCGATTTTGGGGAGAAACCCCTCAACACAACCAATGACATGCCTTTTAGGTTCGGGGGCGTGAGGATCAATAGCAGCAGCACCAATAGGGGTGGGTGGGTCGGGGTGGGGGTGGGGGGGATCCACAAAATACCACGGTCACCAAGACGAAGGACCATGCAGGCAACCAAGAACCAGTGGCAAACAACAACAGACAAGTACCAGTCCAGCAGGAGGAGGGGGATTATTGCCCGACTTGGGGGGGGGTGACAATCGGGGGCCAAAAACAGAAAATAAAAAGCACAAGGCGGGCAGGGCCAGAAACAAGCAAACAACCATAAAGCTTCCAGTGAGCAGAGAAGCACAAAGAGCGTCCAAATGAATGTGGATGACCTACCCTTCACCATCACCACTACCGGATGGTGCAGGAGCAGGGACTGTGACTGTACCCACATTATCCAGTTTGATCTGAATGGTGGTGCTTAAGGGGCTCTTCAGATACCTTCTCTCTATGTTCTTCTCCAATTCAGCCAGTCTGGTTACAGCTATATCTAGAGGGTTGTTCACACGTCGGACAATGCCGCCGCCTCCTCCGTTCTCCTCCTGCTCCGGCCCGGTCTCCTTGTCTTCTGCCAGACTCCTCTTTGTGAAGGGCTTGTGTTCATGGTAGACCAGGTCTTCCCTCTCTGACTGAGGCTCGGGGTAGATCCATCCCTACACAGAACATGCGAGGTGATGAAAACGCACTGGACCGCACATCTCGTAGGCGTCAGCATCCTAGGCCGTCCGTTGACTTTACCTTAATCTGAAGGCTGGCCGAGGTCACTTTCCTCTCCAGCTCCTCCACCTGCTGAAGGACTGCTATGTCCATCTCCATGGCCTGCTCTTCTATGCACCAGCTTTCCAGAGTCTCTTCCGTTACTTGGTTCTCCTCGAGGTCAGTCACATCAATGACGGCAGCTAGGAACAAGTAATAATACCAAAATCGTACCTCAATTATCCCATTAAAAATATTGCACAATCTGTGGGACAGGAGATGATTCAACATCATACATCGTTGTTTATATCCCAATCACAGAGGTAATGGTCCTCTTAAGCCTCCAGAAAACAAACATCTGAAGAATTACGTTAGCCAGATGAACCCATGCTAATATGTTTGGACCGCCTTAACATTTTCCGCAGGGGCATGGCTACTCTTCAGCTGCCACAGCACATAAACCTTCAACACTAAAGCTATTGTGAAAGTCAGGACTGCTTGCTGGGGTGCTATTAACTTTGACAGACACTAAATCAAAACAGTTTATTCCTCTGCTGCAACTCAACAAGTCCGGAAATGGCCACTTGTCCCGATAGCTATGAAGGATGAACAACGGTCAAGACACCATCCTGCATCACAGTTTGACTGTTCACTACAGAATCTCAAGCTCTTTCAGTAATTTTCGGTCAGCATGCATACTAAGCCAGTGCTATCACAAAGGAACAATGATAGCTAAATGCAAAATAAACAGACCAGCACTTTGGCCTCACACCCCAAAGGTTGTGTGTTCGATGCTCATCCTCATATTCAAATGGGTTTCTTTCCACAATCCCTAGACTTCAGATAAAAACCAGAGACTATAAGTCACCCATAGTGTTTGATTATGTGGATTATGGACTGGCAACAAATACCCAGAGCTTGTCCAGATGGGCTCCAAATTCTCCATGATGCCCAGATAAGCATATATAGATAAACTGTGGACAGGGTAGACCGGTATGTAGGAAGACGCTCACCATCTCTGTTCTTGGCACAGGCCTGAGCGATGTACTCCATGTGTTTCTGGATCTGCTTCTGCAGGGCCTTCTCCCTGACGCCTCTGCTGTGCAGTGCCTTGGCCAGGGCCCTCAGCTCCTCCATGTCTGACACTTTCCACCAGCCCGTCAGCATTTCTGCCCGCCAGACACACAAACAGCAGACATCTCTCACTGCACCCCCACGGGGCTTTGGCAGACAGCATTCTAATGAGGAGCTCCAAGAGTCAACAAGGGAGCCGTGTCAGTATCCTCGACCAAAACAATGGGAAAATGCTTCAGGGTAGCATCCAACCGTGAGTAGAATGCAGAGATGCCAGTCAATATAGTCGAGAGTGTAGCCAACACAACTATTTATGATGATGTAACACTTCTATCCATATATAACAACGTGAAAAGGAGGAACATAGGGATCGGTTGTTAGTCGCACCAGCTCCGCCAGTTTCCTCACCTTCTGGTATGGGCTGGGGGGTTGGGTAGTCCTGGGGTTTGGCTACTTCCATGGCAGGGGAAGGGGCAGAGGAAGGCTTCTCGCTGGGGGGAACAGGGGACTCGCTCTTGCTAGTGGCCACGCTGGGTGCCAAGAAGGGGTTCCCGTTTCCATCGGCCCCTGGGTAGGATGCACCTGGTGTGGAGCTACCTGGGAAGGCCATGCTCGGGCTCATGATCCCGGCAGACCACGCGCAGTATTGGAGCCCCATTCCAGAGATCCCTGGCTTCACCTGCAATGTTGGATGAAGTTTATTTAAACAACTAAACTTTTAACAACAGCTTCAACAATCGTTGACCTGGTTATATAACATCAGATGTTTGTTTATATAATCAGATAAAAGCAAAATAAAAACAGGATAGACCGCACACCTGGAGAACAGACAATGCCATGCCACCCATCCCCACAGGGGTGTGGGGGCTGGTTCCTGCAGAAACCCCAAGGGGGATTGGCAAGGAGGAGGCCGGAGACTTAGGCTGGGTGGAGGAAGACTGGGAGGAGGCAGCTGGGGGCGTAGGGGCGGTGGTGAGGGAGGAGTCGTCGCAAGGCGAGCGGGGCAGGAGGCTAAACCAATGTCCGTTCCTCTCTGTCAGAGCCCGGAAGAGCTGGTCACCAGGCAAGAGCTGCTGGGAACTGCACATGCTCCCAGGAAAGCCAAAATGCAGGCTGAGCCTGGGGGCAGTGGGCTCCGGCTTGGCTTCCACGCACAAGGCACCGGGGCTGCCGCCGACCACCGCGCTCTGAGAGCCGGCGTGTGGAGGAGATGGCGCCAACATGGGGACCGTCACCGGGCTGCCGTTCTGCTTCTGGTGCTGGCTCTCTAATTCCGGGGACATCTTGGCCACCTCCAACAGCTTGCTAAGCTTGGAGAAGGAGCCTGGCTTCTGAAGGAAGAGGTTAGGTGAGTCCTTCTCGACGCCACTCTCCGGTGTTGCCCTGTTCCCCTGGAAGTTCACGTCCTGGCTAATGTCCGAGGGCTTCTCGTCCAGCACGTCTGGTGGCTCCTTCTTGATTTCAACAGCCACTGCGCTCTCCTGTTCTCTGTATCGTTCCCTTTCTCTCTCTGTCTCTTCTGGACCTGGAGGAGACCGAAAAACCCATCGCCACCCAACGTTAACAAACCAGCAGCCCACTGGCAGGGTGGCCTAATTGGGCGGTGTACGCGTGTGCTGTTCCACAAGCTGCACCAGAACCAAAAATAAACAGGTAAAGAAGTGACCACTACCCTACATTTTGCAGTTTAATGTCTCACTGGGTCAACAAGGGAGGGGCTTAATCATATGATGTCACCACATTGGTCCATTTGGTCCATTTTTTTTGGTTAAAGAAGTGAAATGCAAGTCCCTCCCTTGTTGACCCAAGCACACATCAAACTTGGCAAAATCAGGACGTGCGCCATACATCAATGTGTAGTGTCTACGTTAATTTTAAAAAAGCAGGAAGAACACAAACTCATGAAGAAGGTAATCATTGACCAGACCTTCGCCGCTCTCCATGCCCTCCACGAAGACACCCCCGCACTGTGGCAGCACCCAGTAGCGCCGCTTGTAGCGGTCTTGTCCAAACATCATGGAGCGCAGGGAATGCGACGCCTCAAAGAGCTTGCGCCTGATCTGGTTCTGTTGCTGGGGTGGGCGGACACATATCCACATCAGCTCTTCGTCCCTTTCTGGCCCCCATCCTCCCATGGAGCAATGCGATTTTTGTAATTTACCTTCGTCAGCTTATCGATCTGCTTCTCGAGCTCCTCCACACTGGCAACCTGGTAGCTCTCATCCTGGAACAAGAGAACAAAGTTAATACTCCCACGGAAAAGCAGAAAAACACTTATAGGAACAAAATATATGTTAATAATTATGCTCAGTCTGCACCGTAGGCATTTAACTGACCTTCAGCCGCTGCATTTTACTACTGTTTACAACCTGCTTGCAATCTTTATCTGAGATAATTACACACTCCTGTTACGATACAGGGTAGAAAATTCTTCCTCCTACTCTCCTTCATCACCCACCCCCCCTACATTTCCTCCCTTACTAACCTCATCCTCGCATGCCTCCACTTTCTTCCCTTTCTTGCATTCCTCCTCCTCTTCATCATCCTCGTCGCCCTGGTCGTCGCTGTCCTCATCGTCATCCTCGTCATCGTCACTGTCCCCGGTCTTCCGCTTGCGTTTGCGGCCCACCGTGGGCGTGCCCGGGGTCTGGGCCTCCTCTCCGCCCACGCCGGACTCCCTCTTCCCCGTCTTTTTGGCGTGAATACTTCTCAGCCTGGATGGACGGAGAAGACAGTGGAATAAACCAGACTGCGTTACACTGTTCTCCATTTTGCTGTCTCTGTCAAGGCAGTTACAGGCAGAAACGGATCGATCTCTATGTGGTTACACAGTCTTCCTCTGCGTCAATGGTCGCACACTCACTTGCGAAGCTTGCCTTCAACCACCCACTTGTCCCGCCTTAGATTGGTCATGTGATCAATATTTTTGTCAATCTCGCTGTGAGGAAAGGGGAAGATCAAAGTCAGTTGAAAACAGCAACAAGCTACTTGCTAAAACCACCACCTAGAGCTATCACCTCAGGTGAAACCATTTCCTTCATGCTACATGTGTACACCAAGGCACTGGCCCCAGATGAATGCTGATTGGCCCCCCCAAGTCACTCCCTTTCCTGTCATTCGCTGGTTCAAAACATATCATTGACCAATGAGAAGGTTGACCCCTCTTATGTCTCCCACGTTAAAAAGTCCCCAGGACTGGAGGTGAGAACCACCCCTTTATTACTGGCTGAATGAGAGGTCATCCCAAATACCCGCACCGGCTCTCCATGCATCAGGTTCCCTACCCCTGGTCCAGAGGTTGCCTCTACAAAGAGGTGAAGCATCCACACTTCGTCGGACACTGAAATACCTGGACCAAAAGACCACCTGTGGCCGGTGGGGCCGCCTACCTGACGACGCTCTTGCTGCAGGCTAGCTCGTTGACCAGGAAGGCCAGGATGCAGGCCTTCTGCGTAGGTGTGTGTGCCTGGAATGCTTTGGTCTTCAGGCTCTCCGAGAGATCCGCCAGCTCCGTCTGCCCACAGTGCGCCTCCATGTAGATCTGCAAGATCTCCGACACGTTGTCCCGGTTGATGCCTACATTAGTCAGGTGGTCCCCCAGGGCCGTTTTGGTCTAGTTGGGAAGAGGAAAACATCTTCTGAGCAGACTTTACCAGACTGCAGGCCTCTTTTTAATGCCTTGTAATGGCTTTTAATCAGAGCCAGACAGAATTCCTGAGATAACACCCTACTTGTGTGTTCTCATTACAGCGGCACCCGATGTGCGCCAGTTTTTAACAGTGTACATGCCGCATTTTAGTACACATATATAATATCCATCCAGCTGCTTATATAAATGTAGACCACAGTATTTATGGCTACAAAACCTTGCATCCAATCAGTTTGCGAGCAGCACGCAGGCTCCACTGGGGACTGTCCATGCTCCGCTCCTGTTTGAGTTCTACACTTGATTACAAGAACTCCAATACATGTCTTCTGCAGATGTTCTCAGAGGACTCTGCCATTGTGGGGTGTATTAGTGATGGGAGAATGAGGAAGCCAAGAGCTTCATGACCAGCTTTGTTGGGTGGTGTCAGCTCAACCATGTCCAGCTCAATATCAGGAAGACTGAGGAGATGGTGACGGACGGCAAGTGATGGACTGCAGGATCTGCAGGACAAAGTCTCCGAAGGTGTGGATGTTGAGATGGTACCGGCCTTTGAGTACCTAGGAGTACTCAGGCACGACAAACTGCAGTGGGCTGCAAACAGGAACATCCTGTACGAGAAGCCCAACAATTTCGCAAGGAGACTCAGGTTCTTCGGTGTAGGTGGTACACTGCTATAGACTTCAGATGAGTCAGAGGTGACAACAGCCATTGTGTATGCTGAGGAATGCTGAGCCAGCACAGCCCAGGAGACTTTAAAAGCTCCACAGGAAGGCAGCCTCATTGTTAAGGATCAACCCTGACCCCCTTGAGGAGGCACTAGAGGGGAGAATGCTGACCAAGCTCTCAGCCATCATGGGCAACACCTCCCGTCCACTCCATGAGACTGTTCTGGCACAGAGAAGTGCCTTAGGTGAAAGGCTCATTGCCCCAAGGTGTATGAGGGAACGGCTTTTGTGCTGCTTCATTCCTGCTTGCATCTGGGATTATAACATATCCCTAGTCTGCTAGCCATTACAGTTTATCCATGGACATCATTTTTTAAAATGTCAATCTTGACAAGTTCTGTACATTGTTCCTTATAAGTTTGCCCATCTGTTCATTTTATCTATTCAAATCTGTACATAAAAGTACAGATCACATCTGTACACATGAATAAACTGAACATTTATTCATTTAAAAAAAAAGTTCCTTTATTTATTCTGTCCCTTTTTTGTCAGAATCTGAGCTGACGTAAAGTCCCAATTTCCCTCCAGGGATCAATAAAATTCTTCTCTAGGCTCGGGGAGACCCGGCTTTCTGCGCTGTACGGGGTGGGTGCAGGTACGTCGGGGAGGCATGGGCTCCGACCACAGACTCACCCTGTGGCCCGGGGGGAGGCCCGGATCACACACCACAGCTGACACCATTCGCACCAGCAGGTCCTGCACGGCGCCCATGCTGTCGCCCACGTTCAGCAGGCCCTCCTGCAGCACGCCCAGGCTGGGCACGTCCATAGCCACGTCGAAGCCCAGAACCTTCCCGAAGCTTCGCAGGAACTGCATCACCATCAGGCAGTCAGAGAAGGAGCTTCCAGGAAGCACGAGGCCTGGGATCCGTGACAACTCAGGGAGAGGCTGGATGACAAGAGATTCACAAACGCTGTCACCCACACTGCCAGTTAACCTAAATTACACCTGCCTGTGCTTCTTTCATTAAATACTTTCCCACTTGGTGGGAAAGTAACTTATAAATCTACCTTGAACTTATAAGGAATTTCCTAAACAAATACCCTCTATAAAATCCCACGTTATTTCAGAAAATTTTCAATTATTCCAGCCCCAGGACTCCTAAAAATGCAGGGGCCACAAAGGGACACTGTAAGCTCCAATCAGCTCAGTGCCAATGCTAGGATTTCACAACCATATTTATCCTACCACCTGCAGCCACTTGAGGGCAGTATTCCGTACAAATAGGCTGCATGTGTGTGAAGGCGAAAAGATGCCCTCTTGTAACAGTCTGTCAGAATGCAACCCAGGAATGTGGCCTGGACATTACTAAAGTATTCCTCGCTTTCAGAACAGCATACGGCCCCATCTGGGAATCTCAGGAGCGTCCCCAAAAAAGCCAGCGTTCCGATGCTTGGTTATTGACTGACTCCATCTCTTCTGCGTAGAAGGGGGAGGTGGCGCCCTCTATTGGTCACAAACATCATTACCTTGTGGTCCGCCAGGCACAAATCTTCATTGGGCTTCTTCAGCTCCTTGGCCATTTCCAGTTCCAGCCTGCGGAGTTCCAGCTTCCGCTCTTTGTTGATCCGCTTTTCGTCCCGTTTCTCCTGCTTCAGGCGCTCGCGCTCCTGCGGGGACGGGGGAGATCAGGTTGACGGGGGCGGCCCAGGTTTACTGAGAGGAGGCGGGGGCTGACGCAGAAGTTACCTCCGCCTTCTTACGGGCCTCCACGGCCTTCATCAGCATCATGTGCTGCCGTCGCCTCTCCCGCTCCTGGTGGGGGGCAGGAGGACAAGCATTAGGGGCTAAAGGGCTCAGGGGGAGGTAAAGGGTGTGATGTCACTGCAAAAGATGACAGCTTAATGTAGCACATTTAGCAATGGGGGAGGGGGATTAGGGGCAGACAAGTCACATTGACAGCGGTCACGTTTATGTATTTTAGTTGAAACTTAGAAGCTGATACAATGACAACCAATAAGCGAAAATAAGGGGGGGGAAGCAAGAGACATGTAGGAGAAGCATACTCTCGGAGACGGGATCAGTCATGAGGCTTCTGCATAAGCTGGCAGGGAGGAAGCGGATAGGGCTGCCCGCTACAGACTGGTTAAGATACGCAGCCGAAAGGTCAGGGGGAAATACGTTATTTGCTGGTAAAGTTCAGCGGCAGGCAGGGTGTGCCTTCTAGTGGAACAATATGAAGCCAATGGAAATCGGAGAAAGTAATGAGAAAATATCAGCGTCCAATGGCCATCTGAAGGACCAGAGGGGCAAATGGGTTGGTGTCTGAAGGGGATTTTTCACTCGGCAAGTCCATCACATTAACTGGCACTTTTAATAGTTCAAGGTCGTCCGGGATACCGCTATGATCTTATCCAGGATACTATTAGATCCAATATGGTATGGCTTCATGGCAAATGCTGAAATTGCCCGTTTTCAGCTGATCGTGGTAATCAAAAGGGGCCTTGACTAAAAATGGGCAGTGGGAGAGGCAGACAAAAATCTGATAAATGAAAGAATGCTTCCTTGATCGCATGATCTTTTTTTTCTTTGGTAACGGGCCGAACAAGCAGGCGGGAGAGCAAGAGAGCTGCCGTGGGTAATGGACAAAAGGGGGGGGAACAGATGGGTACAAAGTGCAAATGCCCCCCCCCCCCCCCCACAGACTTCCAGAAAACAAGCACTTACAATCAGCAAAGAAACAAATACGAAACGTGATGAATGTTACATGTGCTTCCAGACTATGGGTGGCTGCATTAAGGGCTTTGGCGCAATTCGCTAGCGAGTGAAGATGCCCAGCCTCTTGGCTTAAAAAACATTTTCTAGGGGGGTCCCTGAGGTCCCACCCCAGGAACACAGACAGCAGATGCAACTTTGCTGGAAAGCCATGCAGAGAAATGTAGTATGACAGCAGCCAGTGCTAATGCTTAACGCATTGCTATGACAACCAGATCACAACCAGTTCACGATGCGGTGTTAGATGTACAAAAATAAACATACCCATACCATATCTAGTCTATGCCTCTCCAACTCCTGGTAGAAAGAGTTGGCAAAGTATTATGAAACAGAAATCACAGAGTCATAAGAACAGGGTTCATAAGAACAAAACAAAAAACAACCAATCCCAGAGGTAACCCAGTCCCCAAAAGCACAGAACATAAAAAAGGGAAACAAGAGATTTAATAAAGCACTGATAAGTAGTTAGAGAGCCCCCCTTTCTCAAAAAAAAAAAAAGGTTTAAACGGAATTAGAGAATCTGTTTCTTTAGCTCCATGCTACAGGTACATCTGGAGTGGTTTGGTGCTCACCTGATGTTTCAGGATGACAGCCTGCTGCCGTCGTATCTCCTTCTCCTTGAAGTAGAAACAGGAGAATGAAAAATCGCATCCTCAACGCAAACACACATTCATGTTCTCTCCTTTTAAAAAAATTTAAAAAAAAAGCTGAAACAGGTAGTCAGTTCAATTCCTACATTCACGTCAGCTAAACCCGGAGGCGTACAGCTGAAACGGATCAAAGCTAATGTGACAGGAATTCATCTCTTTCTCCGTTAAGACGGAGAAGGTCCATAGTTAAAAGTTAGAAAATTTACATTTAAAAACCGATGAGCAAACAACAGACGTGCATGACAGAGGTTCATGAATCAGCACTAGGTGGGTATCAGTTCTCGTTCATACCGCTCAGTTGTCAGATCATTGCCCCAAGTCTTTACGGCCCATCTAAACCGACCTTTGTTCGCTTCTCAGCTTCCAAAATTTTGGCATTTGCTGCTTCTTCCTTCTTCTTCCGTTTAGCCTGTGCATGCAAAACAGGTCTTCAGGTCATGCAAAAGCAGTGAGCTTCAAAACATCTCATCCGACGACGACAGACATCTCACAGACAGACACGGGAAACAGAATGACAGGAGACCACAGGGAATTGAGACCGAAATGCTATTACTGGTTTACCTTAACATGTATATTAGATATGAGGATTTTCCTTTAAACTACATACTTTAAGGCTATACATATACAAAACTACAACAACTCCTAATGTCATAGCAGAACATTTAAAACAAACCACAGGAAGAGCTTCACCACAATACATAAATCATTCTGTCCAAAATAAATTTGAAAAGACATGCCTGTACAGACAGAGCCTGCACCACTTGTTAGGGACTATATAGATCTGGGATCTTTATGGCTATTTTAATGTCAGTTAAAAATGAATATGATACGTTAATGTTTAGTGGGATTCATGATATATTACTGTCTTCAGAGCAAAATGACAATGTAAAGACAGTCTGCAGTAAGACCCCTTTGTGATCTAGCATAGGATGTGAATCTTAACTAATGTCTTATGTCTGAGCATTACCCCTAACCCCCAACCATTGGGTCTGAGAACCAGATAATAAGCAATGCATTATGTGGAATTTAAATATGTAATTACAAACTGCAAGAAATCCTGTTAGGACTGGTTTGCCAGCCCTGTCAACTCCAATTTGATTTTGACCCACTAAAACACGTTGCCATGTTTATAACTTGTATATGTATGAAAAACAGCTTTTTATGCTAAACTATTACTGTTGTGCGATGGAGGGGGAATCTCTTTTGCATAATTTAACCACGGTTTGAAGGGGGAAAGGCAGAATTAATACTCATTGACAGCCCACAGAGAATATTTCAGCATTAGTCCCATGTAAAATTACGCAGAAGGTCTAACCCGAAACAGGACGAGATGATACAAAAACGGCCGTATCCGAAAGTGCCCTCCACCCCCGTTTCGTCTCCTGCAGAACCTACTTCAAGAATCTGCTGAGCGCGGAGCTCTTTCTCCATTCTGATCTGCTGAATCCGCTTGATTTTCTCCTTCAAAAAATAACATAAAATAAAAAGGAGTAGGAAAACTATCAGTCAGAAGTGTCATCAATCACATTATTCCAGTCCTGAATACGAGTGTCACACTGCATGAATAAGCGGGGGGGGGGGGAACAGCCACATGACACTGGAAGCACATATAAGAATAAAAACGTTCTATATACAAATTCTTTTTTCACATCACCCTTTAGACAGCAATGCTGGTATGTGACTGTGTGTTCGTGGTCTGTAAATAATGCATGTCCACCATAAACATAACTGCACGTGTTTAAATTATGTATTTTATTTATGTACATACATCATATACAAAAACAAAAAATGAAACATATAGACCTACAGCATCCCAGGTATACCCTATGCTTATATATTTTACTTGTTTATCTGATGGTTTTATCCAAAGTGACTTACACTACAGGGAAGAGGTACAGTTTATACACACTACCAGGGATTTGAACCCATGACCTTTGCATTGCTAGCACAATGCTCTACATGTTGAGCATGCTTATGTCTTTACCTGCTGCTTCAGTATCTTGATCTGCTCCTTCTGCTTCCGCTTCTCCTCAGCAGCCACGATTGCTGAAAAAGAGCACAGAGGTGCCGGTCTGCGGCTTGGTGCAGGGTTGGCGGGCGACATTCTCCTGGGCAAAGGGGGCGGACATACCTTGTTGCTTGCGAGCTTCTTTGGCCGCCCGTGCCAGTGCTTGCTTTTCAAGTTTGCGCATTAGTTTGATTTGAGCTGCTTGCCGGGCTATTTCTGTTGGCAAAGGAGGAGAGGAATAGTTAGCTCAGCCATTGGCCGCAATTCACAGAGCATCCAACAGGGCGGCGCCGTTCACCTTGGGCTTCCAGTTTCCGGAGGAGCTTGGCATCAGTGGAGCTGGGCACCTCGCCCTCCCCTACGTTGGGCGGCCGGCCTTTACGGCGTCTTGCCCGTGACCCATCCACTGACTGTTGTTGGCCATCCAGGTTCAGGGGACGACTTCGGCGACCCTCCATCGCCATGACGTGAGGGAGAATTTCCTCCTCTGTCAGCAACGTCCACTGCAAGCCCTGAACCAAGAGACATGGGGGGGGGTATGGGTTCACAATAAGGCGCTTCATGGCCCACTCCAGCAACTGAAAGCTTACCCCCCTCCCTCCCTGACCATGGGAGACGTCCAAGAGGAAGCACCTTTCAACAAGACACTATTCATCCAGGCTGAATCACCTATTATCCTCAATATACTTTACATCTATATTTCATTCTTTATACTGTTCTGCCAAGACACAAAAACAGTAACAGAGAAGAACAGAAAAATAAACTTTGACAGGCAGGCGCTTTTATTTAACGTTCTGCCTGGTCTCTTCCGTTCCCAGTGCACGCTAAAGCTTCCCTGTCCAGTGCCTCTGAGTTCCACTCCCTCTCATCTTTAGGACTGCATTACACAGTTTACCTGCAAAAGCAAACTGATACAACCGTCGCTGTACCGAAAATATGGGTCAGAACTAAAGGACGGGGGTTTCTGGAGTAGCGCTCCGCTTAATGGGGGAGAATAAAAAAAGAAACTGAGAAAAGATATAAAAACATTCACCTGGGGTCCATCTCTGGCTTCATAGAAGTCACCAACCCTTAATTTTGCAATGAAGCTAAAATTATCGCGTGTGATGTCAGTTATTCCATTTCTGGATAGATACTACAGAAGAGAGAATAATGGCTTTGGTGAGACAAAGATTTTCAAGGTTCAGGCAGAGTGTGACACTGAAAGTAACCTAGTAGGTTTTTAGGCCCAATTAAAATGGCACGGTAAGCTAGCAAGTTCCTCTAGTAGCCCTACTGTAACTACCCTTAACCAGTTCCGGTGCCAATGGACGGGTCCTCCTTCAAGGTTACCTTTACGACATCTGGGTATTGACGTAGCTTCTTCCCACAGGGGGCGTAATAAGCCACGTCGCCCTGGACGCGGCCGTTGAGGTTTCGGATTCGGGTTTCCCTTCGCCACCTGGGTGGAGACACACTAATGTCATACAACACTCTGGCGAGAAGGACTCTCCCTTCCAGCTCGCTAGCAGACAACTTCAGCCAGCCATGCTGAGCTCTCAGTCTGACCCTGCGCCTGTTTATCGATATTCCCTCAAGCTATCTAGCTTAAATACCTGTCTATTGGGTACAGGACGGCTTTCTTTCTAAGCTGCAGGCGCACAAACTCATCTCCAAACGCTCACAACAGCATCTACTAAGGCCTCCTTTGTAGACGCCAGTTTTTAAGTAACATTCATAACAATACCTAAAAGTAATGTTCATAACAATACCTTTACATGAGAACACACCAACTAAAATTATACTTAAATATCAAGAACCTGTTTTTTCTTATTGTTAACACAAGCCACGGCCACAAACTAGATATATTTCACTGATGAAGGCCTCATCGCAGAATTCTTCGCTCTTTGGGTCTCTGGGACAATGTCAGTCAGAGTTTATCTTGGGGCACTTTATCTCCACCCAGATGTGATTCAAAACGCAACACCTGAGACCGGCTCCATGCGACAAAAGACAGGTGTGCCTCCTGCCTCCCATTCTGGCAAAAACGACGGCCGATGACTCAGACGAACGGCCTTGATTCAAACGGCCTCATGTGAGAACAAGCTCACTGGAAAGAGAAAACTACCAATCCCAGCAGAAGTCTTCACAGTGGCAGTAAATCGGTCAAAGACTGTATACTGTGTCTGTCCAATGGAAACCACGCATGTATACTTTAGGATAATTGCAACAGGACTACAACTATGCCCCTCCGTCTAATGATAGTGTTTGACATCTAAGTGTCCAATGAAAAGATGTTTTATGGAGTCATCTGTTTAACTAGTATTTATGTTTGCACTAGTTAACGTTTCTATTCACAATGGTCCTTTACACAATTACTTTATATTGCTAATTTTAGCAACTCAATGCCATTGGCTAGGTAACTAACATCACTGTTAGTCGTGAATCGAAAGTGAGATTAGCTAGTGTGTTGCTGACACTGATGAATCTACCTCATCGACAACAATCCACAAAAGTCCATTTAAAACATTAAACCATTCGCTGACAGCTGCGTAACTATAGGCTTCTCTCTGTGGTGCTAAGGGTGTCTCATTATGTAATTTTGGGTTAATTTTGTAAAGTAGTTTCTGAGAAAATGTTTTTTTTTCCATGATCCTGAAATAATGGATTTTTGGAGATACATGTTTTTTCATTGGACAGCGGCGATATGCAGAACTGGAACATATTTCCCATCCGTGGTGATGGGATAGGATATTTATGGAAATAATACTGCCAGGCCCCAGTTCTGAGAACTGCCAGTGATTCGGTCCAGACAGGAAAGATCAAGAGGCTTTAGCTGTTTAAACTGACCGCAGCTGTGACTTCTGCTCCACCCAGCATTGCACCTGTTTGACCTGTAGCTCCACTGGTAATGAAACTCATCTGAGTGAAGGTCTGCAGAACCTCTTCTTCACCCACCCCCCACCCCCCGGAAATTGAACATCGCCCAACATGAAAGGGTGCAGGTCTTCAAGGTGCTGAGATGCCAACTGAAAGCTTTCTGCTGCTTATTAAAAGACTGAGAAAAACATGCTAACGCTAACGTCCTAGGCCCGCGCCAATTAATGCTGGCTGTAGAGTCTACAACTGGCTTCCTTGCTTCATGCATGACTTGCAAGACGTTCCTTAAAGCACCCGCAACCTACTTATGATACATGATCACAAGGAACTCTAAAATCCTGACCTCTGGAAAGTATTCCATCATCGGCCGGGGTGCCAGTGTCAAACCCTCACCACATCATCCGCTAGGCCATCGAACCCAGCCTGCAACTCCGACAGGTCATGGGGCAAGAAAGGATGGAACTCCATGAGAACATACCCTAATTCAAGAGGTATCTGCAGCTCCTGCTCGTCCACTCGCCGTCGTTTCGCAGATCCTGTGGATGGGGGGGGGGGGGCACTGTTTAAGTCCAGGACATGGGCAAATGCAGGGAAAGCTTCACTAGGTCAATGAGATCTATGGGACCATTTTAGAACAACTACTTGAGATATAACTCAACTCCTGGTAGACAGAACCTTCCACCTCCATTTATACCCAAGCAGATCATCTCCAAATGAGAAAGGAAGTTCAAATATAACTTCTTGGCATTCTTTGGTTTCTTTCTCACAAAACATGTATAGATTCCAAACTGACAGCCAATTATAGCTTAATCCATAATCCACATGCAAAGAGGGTTTGGCTTGATTTATACGCTTATCCCATAAAGCATTCCAATGTGCCCCAGCACAGGAAAAAGGAATCAAGCACAATCTGTGGAGAGGATGAGCCCAAATGCCTCTCAAGTTTCAGATTCGGGGGATACGTCACAGGGTTGCTGGGAATCGCGATGGTGGCTTCAGTCATCGACTCATGACATCAATGGGCAGGTTCGTGTACGTCAGCCAATATGCCATCCCCAGAAGGGGAACACAGACGGCATGCGGCTCACTGGGTTAGAATGCCATACCTGTGATCTAAAGGTCCCTGGTTCAAATCCCAAAGTCAGCAGACTTCATCATTGAGCCCCAGAGCAAGACCCATAATCCCCCTCTACTCCAGGGACACTGTCTGACCCTACTTTCAATGGCACGTCACTCTGGATAGGAGTGTCTGCTGAATAGATTAATTCAAAGTGGGTCAATGGAAAAGCCCAGTTGGCTCCTGGTTTTTGATATGCTGAAAATGATGAGGGAGTTCTTCTAATTGCCAGAGGTAACTGCAAACCTACTCTTTTCAGTTGTGGAGATTCTAATAGGTACTGGCAGGTAAACACATTGACTGGAGGAAAAGTGGAAGATCTGGCCAAAACGCTTCAGATTCCAACTTGTTTTTCTGACCAGAAATGTCACACATAAAGAGTTTTTTTGAGAAAATAAGTATTAAGTTTTTGCCAGCCCACAACTCGGAAATGATCGATTAGCGCTGAAATTATCAATTGATATGCAACATTTTTTCAACTGCTTGACCAAAAATATTGGTCAATTTCACCTTCACTTTTTTCGATGCAAGCCTACAAAAAAGCCCACTAAACTAGTCACCGAAAAACGAGATTTGCAGCAGAATCTCACAATCGCCAGCAGAAACCAGCTGTGGAAAAGAGTAACGTCCCCACTCATTGGGTCGGGGGGGGGGGGGGGGGAGGGGGAGGGGTACCCCAGCAGTCATCTCTCAATAGTCGCTAAAGCTATTGACTTGAAAACTTTGTCTTCATTTGGTATAAAAAAAAACATTCTGACTTATTAAATTTAACATGTTCCAGATTTCAGGAGCTCATTCTAACCACAATCATCTCTATGGATGAACTAGACGCGGAAAACAAACTTAGGCCCCTCAGCAGCAAAACTTGTCATTACCTGGAGGAGTAGCAATAGCGAACGATGAGGAGGGAGCTGTGTGATAGGCTGAAGCTCCAGAACCAGCCAATGCAGTGGAAGCAATCATGTCGGGGGACTTGACGACTTGGAGGTTGAGGGGGGAGCTGTTGGCCGCAGAGTCGGCGGAGGCATTCGCTAAAGAGGTACTCTTGGTGAGCTTCAGAGGCATCTTCTCCCCTTCGGTGTCGGTCCCCGTCTCATTGCGCTCCTTCATGTCATCCTCGGAGCCTTCCGAGTCGCTTCCGAAGTTGCTTTCAGAGTCTGCACCGGGACATGATTTCACTTCATCGCACCATTATGTGATGATTGCGATAGTGTGATACTGCTAGACCAATCAGAGCCAAGGAACGACATATCATTTTGCTGAGGGAGACTCACCTGAGGGACTGTCGTCAGAATCCTCCTCGTCATCTTCCTCCTCCTCCTCTTCCTCGTCATCCTCATCCTCGACGGAGTCGTCAGAATCCTTACTGCTGGGGATGTCAGACTCGGTGCCCCGGAAGAGGTCAACCAGGGACTGAACCAGGTGACTCTGGTTTGCCCCCCTACCTGCGCTTATCGATTTGGGGGCCCTGTTCTTCCCTTGCGCGTGAGCCAGGCCAGGTGAGGTAGAAGGCCTTGTGGGCACCATGCTCAGGTTGACGGGTGTGGAGAAGGGGGGCACGCCAGCGGCCGCGAGTGGGGGCTTGTCGGGGGTCTTGACCTGGCTGCGGGGTTTCGTGATGAGGGCCAGGGGGGCTTCCTGAATGGCGCTTTGGATGACACCGTTCGGGTGATGGTGTCCGAGGAGGGTACTGGAGAGGAACAGGTTGGAGTGGCTTCCGTGTTGGGGGGCCAGTTTGTGGCTGCTTGGGGCCTCAGGGGAGAGTTTGGGAGGGGGCAGCGATGACAATGATGACAATGGTACTGATGCCGCCTTCTTCTGGGTCTTGTAGGACTCCTGCTGCTTTTTCAGATGCACTGGGAATGTCGTCTTGAAATGCTCCTGGGAATGGAATGGCTGAAGCAGAAAGGAAAATGAAGAAAAAAAAATATAATTACATTAGCTGTCATTTTACATTAATGCAGATGGCAAAAGCAGGTGGTTAAGTACAATACCAAGTAATTACGTCCAATTATTACCCCGAAATTGACTACAAAAGTAAAATAATAAATTCCAGACTCGAATTAACCAATACCGCATAAATTAGTTTATCTATGCAGTATATATTAAAAGTCAGATAACGACATTACATACAATTCCCATAGTTAATGAACAAAACAGTCATGCACTTAGGAGCTGGAGATCTTACAGACTATGCAGTTAAACGTAAATATCTGTTGTTTAAGACAGTAGAATTAAGTGTTTAGAAAAAAAAATCCTTATTAAATATAAAACAAAATATGAAATATCAGAATCACACTGTTAATACTGTTCATTGTGATCATTAAGCACACAATTAAACTTGGACCTGCCCAATCCTGCAAGAATAAAATTAGTGGTGATGCTCATTGGTGGGGGGGGGGAGTTGCGTTTATTTCCTTTTTGATAACTAGATTCCTGGAGCTTCACCAGAGGTAAGTGCTTGTCTGCTTGGGTGCAGTAATTACAATAACAGTGAACGCACTGTCACCTCCGCTGGTTTAGCCAGCTAGAGAAGGCCACCAACACCGTCAAGTGGCAGACAGAGGGACCCTCCAGACGTCTCGCTCCGCATCGAGAAATCTGACTGACCTTTTAAGATTTGTGTGTCAGGAACAATGAAGTTGCGGAGTAAGTCATTACAGACATAAAATATATAAAGACAACAGCGAACTGTGAAAATATGCAAAGAGGGACTCCGTGAGCAGCAATAACTAAATTATAAATACTAATTTTTTCGACACAATAATTAAGATCCATGCAGGGTTTCCATTTGCATAAATTCAGCTCATCAAAATGGCAGATGAGATTTTTTAATTCTCATCACTATGAAATTTAACCCCGTATCTCTCTCCTCCTTTATTATAGAATTACTGCATGGCTTTGCGTTCTTCGTAATGTTGAACTGTAAACGGACGGATATTTCATTTAGGCGACCCTATTGTATTTCACTTGTGACATCAGGGGAAAACATTTACCACAGTGGTCTAATCCAATTATAAACGGAACAGAGGAAGGTAAAGAAACATTATTGATATTGACTTAACCAAAAACTTTCAGTATTTACTCTTAGTTTGAAGCATATTTTAAACGGATATCAAGAGCTATTAATCTACAAAGGTTTGATGTTCTCATACTTAATACGGGTTACTGCTGTAACGCCCATCACAATGACAAGTCAAACCATGTAATTTTGACATTCAACAATTAATTAGAACCAGCATAAATCATTAAAAAGCAGACCAATGTCACAAATAAACAAGAACCAAATTTAATCTGTAAAACACGGAGCAACAATTTAATGTTTCATTTTATATTTGGCTGTACCATTACACGGGGGTAGACAGGAATCCTTGTGTGTGTGTGTGTGTGTGTGTATTTATATTATATTATATTACATATATACACACCCACTCACACATTCCCCCCCCACACACATACTTTTCAATTTTATTGTCCCCTTATTGAGATGAGAAAGGCTGATGGATTTTTTCCCTTATCAACTGGCATTATGAAAACATTTGCTATATATTAATATTTCAGGCATGAAAAGAGCTTAGTTTTGTTGACATGCCTAGATGCAATGACACACAAACGGATGATGGGAGCCACATACCTGCTTTAGTCTGAAGTCACTGATCTGTGAAGATGAGTCTTCCATGAGGTTCCTTGGAGTCATCTTCATACCATCGGGGGAGAGAGTTGGTGGCTTTGGGGAGGGGGCCAGTGGTTTGAGTTTGGGAGGGGGGGAGAGAGACAGAGGCCTGGGTGAGCTGGAAAGTGAGAGGGGCTTAGGTGAACTGGAGAGGGAGATGGGCTTTGGGGAGACGGTGAGTGGGAGGGGCTTTGGGGAGGACCTGAGTGGGAGGGGCTTGGGGGAGGACCTGAGTGGGAGGGGCTTGGGGGAAACTGTGAGTGGGAGGGGCTTGGGGGAAACCGTGAGTGGGAGGGGCTTAGGGGAGGATGTGAGTGGGAGGGGCTTGGGGGAGGATGTGAGTGGGAGGGGCTTGGGGGAGGGGTCCAAAGTCTTGGGCGAGGGCTCCTGGCGTGGCTGTGTGACCAAAGCCAGCGGCTTAATGCTGGCCGCCAGCCCAGTAGCTTGGATGACACTCATGTGTGGTTTAACGGCCTCCTCTCTGGAGCCGGGGCTTTGGAAGACCAGCGGACTGGATGATGCCAAGGCCGAAGACTGGATGGACGGAGGAGGTGAGAAGTGGCTGGGGACCAGGGCCTCGACGGGGAAGCCCCGGGGAAGGCTGCTCTTGTTTGCCTGGGGCTCCCGGTCTTCAGCAGGCCTGGGGATATCCTTCTTACCCTCAGAAATCCCAACCTGAGTGGGGTGGGGGGGCATGGAAATGGAATAAACAGTCAGCTCTGTCTAAAGCTAGGATAAAGGAAACTGGGTTATTGGACTAGGCACTGTACTACCCGCAAGAGCATTATGCAGCAAGAATTACCCTTTGGCAGCAAGGTTCTCAATTAAGGTATTTTGCCTTTTAATTATGGTTGGGGGAAAAAATACAAAAAAAATTAGATAAATCACGTTTCATTTAGGAATTCTATCCCAAACCCCTCCCCCAAAAGCATCAAATTCCTGGTTCACCTTTACCTTCCTCTTCACCCTCTTTTCCCTCTCAGAATCCGAGTCCTCGCTTTCATTGCTCTGATCTTCCTCATCCTCGTCCTCGTCCTCATCCTCATCCAGGTCCTCGGAGTCGCTGCTGCTAACCCCTTCGCTCGAGGTGTCCGAGGAGGTGCCCGACTCGCTGTCACTGTTGCTGGAGCTCTCCGCCGCTTTCTTGTGGAGTTTCTGCAACAGAAATTTTTTAAAAAATGAATAAAAATACTTAGAATGGAGACGGAGACAGGATGAGGCCCCTGGGCTACGCAAACATAACTGGCGTCAGATGTCTGGAGCTCAGATATCCTGCCGGTTACTCAATGGTGAGGACATTTTCACACACCTTAGGTACACCTCTGGGTGTTCCAGCCTGCAACCTATGAAACTCCATCTGTAAATGAACTCCATCCCCAGATTAATGCGCAAAGACATAGAAAGAATCCAGTCTTACCCAGGACATTACATTAGCCAGAATGACACATCTGAAAGACTGTTAATTAGCAATAAATAACTTGTTTAGGATCACCAAGGTACTTGACATCTTGCAAAGTTTAAAGATGCTATATAAGTGACACATGAAAGGACCTCAGTTTTGGTCCTCGTAGGCCGTCTTTGGGCATGCCTGCCTGAAATGCCAGCTCACCTTGTCTTTAGATTTCTGACTGGGCTTCTGACCGGCGCTCTCCTTAGACATCTGGATTCCCTCCACGCTGCCTTTGCGGCTCCTGCCTCCAGAGTTAGTGGTTCTGGGCCGCTCGGGGGCTGCCTGTGGCAGAGGTGTGGCGGGGGCGGAACTCCCCCCAGAGGAAGGGGTGGCGCCGTTGCCGTTCACTGCTCCATTCACCCCTGTGTTTGGCATGAATGCAAAACCGGGATCATAAGACAGACTGCAGTTCTGAGCTGCACAAAATACATAATGACCAAGAGTCTGAACGCGAATAAAGGGAAAAACACCAGGAAATATGGAATTGTGGGAGGTTTTGAAGGCATTTGAACAAATCCAGCATAAAATGAGCATTAATAGACCACATCTTAACAGTAAAAACCTACCAGCTGCCTCTTCTGATTAATTAGATCCTATAACTCACTCGCCTCCATGGCTAATGAACCGCATTCAACGTGGCGACGTTTTGGCCGCAAGAGTTCCGCTGGTTTGTTAGGCACGCACCTTTGGGGGTGTCCCGTCCGTTCTTGCTGGGGGTCCGTGACTGGAAGGTGCTGGACTCATGGTTCTGCACCGGGGGAGTGAACATGGGGGGCAGGCCAAGCAGAGGGGGGAAGAAGGCGGCCGCACTCCGCCGGTGAGCCTCTGACGCTCGCCACCAGTCCGCTGCTAGGGCCAACAGAGGGGCAGACTGAATGGGCGGATCTACAGCGCCACCTGGTGGCTCTATACAACACCTACCACGTCTGAACTGCACTCCTCAAATGCCTACTTCAAGATAATTTATACATACAACAATACAACCACTCATTTAGCCATAATAATTTAAGTAATGATCTGATGAGGGCTAATAAATAATGCATCTTAAACAGCAGAATGAAATACAGTAACATGAAAAATAAATATACACACACATATGAGCTTACCCAATGGGATACTGGATACATTTTCAAAACAATCTGACACTGGCCTACATCTAAACAAATCTATGTGTTTTATTATATAATTTTTATTAAAACATGAGCAACAGTGATATTGAATGCTAAAAAAGTCTGGTTTCCTGAAATCTCAAATGGCTGTCCACTATGAATTCAAGAACTCTTTTCACAAATATATATAAGACATTGGAGAGTGACTGTTTGGTAACCTGCTTTAATTCTGCCCAAATCAATGTGCAGTCAGAAGAGAGTGTGATCAATAATATCCATCTGAAATTTCACTCTTTGAATATAACCAAAATATCTTGTCTTTATAATACAGTACTTTGGAGGAAAAAATTTATACATTTACTCAAAATATCCCATTCAATGGACATAAATACACAATGTCAAATCTAGGATGGTCCAAAGAAACAGCGTTTTGATGCATAGCATGCATAACTGCCATTCCGTAAAATACTGCCGGTTGCACTACTATACGATAGCTGACGGTACAGTTGACTGTGAATGGTAAAGTAAATTCATAGTAAATTCATGATAACCGAGATTAAAATGAATGAATGAATGAATATATAAATTGTGATTCAGGGATATTTTTCCATTGATTGGGAATATTTTTACATGTGAACAGGACATCCTCAGTACTGCAAATTCCATAGTATTCATAGTTACTCAAAGATATTCAAAGTCTTCATAGATACCCTAGTCGCCCTAGTTATCCTTGAACAAACTGCTAATTAATTGGCCTGTTCGTTATTGTAGCCCAGCCCGCTCCGGTCCTTCCTGCAGCGGTTAAGAGCATGTTCACTCTCACCCACCCCCGTGCCCCCCCCTCTCGCTTACCTGGAAAGGCTCCTAGCTGGGGGTGAGCAGCCAGGGCAGCGGGCACACCCAGTGTGCCCAAGCCTCCAAATTCAGACCGCCCTGAGCTGTTAGTATGAAGGCCGAAGGCTGGATGGTTCACCATGGGGAAGGCACTTGAGACAGGGGAGAGGCCAAAGGACTGATCGCTGGCTGCCCGGAACAAACGCCCTGGAAAGAGCAGGAAAACACAAACAAAGACAGTGGGAGTGTTACTTAAAGGCGAGGGACACTGTGTAGCTAAAACGGCTGGTCTAAATAATTCATCATTACGTATGTTAAAGTTTAATATCATAACATCTCCCTATCGATTTTACAACCTCTGGTTAGCAAGGGAATCTTTTATGCATTATCAATAAAGACATTAGCTGCTAGTTAGGCATTCCTCCCATTCCGCTTGATCTGCTTAAACACATCTTGTACAAATACGAAGCAGATTTGGGAATCTGGGATATCACTCACTGGGAATTCATCATGCATTTTTTACGAGCCGTACTCTTGTCGGCGCTTAAACGCAGGAAAATCTGAGTGCAAACACTCCTTCGCTGGTGCAGTTTTCAAGAGGTGATTTCGATTAGCCAAGAAAAGTACCATTAAAGGCAGGACAGCTTATTCAGACATAAAGGGTGAACATTAAGTTGTTTATTTGTACTTACAACCTCACGCTGGGTAATACTGAAATCGCAATCAGAAAATATAAGTTAATGTACTTTCGGTGAAAGACACAGATAATCCTGAAACTGGTCCTTAAGTAAGCCGTTAACCCTAATCGCTCCAGGGACAGACATTACTTTCTCAATTGTACGTCGCTTTGAATAAAAGCACCTGCGAAATAACTAAATATAATATAAATATAATATATATATAATAATAATATAATGTAAAATAATGAATGAAGCCAGCATATAGCATGTCTATGAATATTCAGCTGACAAAGTATAAACTCCATACCTGAAAAGTAGGATTCCTGTGCCCTTTATCCTAAGCTCTCATGGCTGGTCCACTTCCTAGACTGTCACAGTAATCATTATAGGTTTTTTTTTATTTTATTTTAATATTAAAAAGTCAGTTGGTGCGACAAGATACAATGTATGTACTCTCCTTCATCCTTCCTTGTTCCATGGTTGAAAGAACCTGTTTCGTACAAATTCTAATCACTGCTTGGGTGTGAAAATGGTATCGTAGCGTGCCAACTGTACGGCAGGACGTGGCGGAGCCTGAGGAGGTCACACAGACCCACAACGAGTTTTTAAAACCTGGCAGTGGGCGGCGGCGGGGGGGGAGGGGTTATCAAACGTCGAGCTAAAGCTACAGTGTTAATCAATGCATACAGACAATATGCACGCAGGACATAGTCCAAGCATCTCCATATGCCGTATCTTAAAGTGATATCTGTTTACTTTGTTCAAGCATATTTTTCTGGTTTATCCCCCTCCCTACCAAGGCTTGGCAAGACTGCAGAGTGTAGGAGGGGGGGGGAGAAGAAGCAAAATTTTAAAGCAGTCAGATTAGAAAGGCCCAGGTGACAGAAGCACTAAGCTACCTGACAATGTGCCTCCTTGTGATGCCGGCATCTGGCTTCAAAATTACACCTAGTGGGAAAGTGAGGGAGAGCGCCTCCCCCTGGCACTTCCACCTTACAGCCAGACACTGGCCTGCAAACAGCCTGAGGTATTTCTGTGGTAGCCTTTGATGGAGCACGCTACAAATACCTGCAATTTTTACATTTAGTTGTCCACAAGGAAATTTACTATCCTGGAGTTACGATCATTTAATGTGACTGATGGAAACAAACATGTACATGTATTCTGAAATACTAACAAACTCTTAGGTTGTACATTAATTGTCTTCATTCTCGTCATTTCCCTTCATTTTACAATGCAACAAAACCCATTAACTACTTAAGAAATAAAACATCGTATGCCTATAAAATGTACTGGATTCCTTGTTTAAAAAAATTCTTGGGCTCTATTCTGATATACCGAGGGACTGTAATCGGATCTGGAAATCACCTTTTTGGCGTTTCAATATATCAGAATCTATATGTATATAAAATCAATTAATGCAAACGAACAATGAACAATGCATTGCTGCCAAATTCGGCGCATTTCCCAATCGAATGCTGCACGTTTCTCAGACAATGCGCACCTTCGGTTGCATTTGTCGGAAAGTGAATACCAAGCAAAATGAGAATCATTTCAAATCCTGCCCTGACCACGAGCATCTCCACAGAGGCCCAGAATTTGTAAAGGCCGATATCTTTTTGCTTATGAAGCTGTTCATTTCAAACCCTGGAGGACCAACTACAAGTAACTGGCATGAAAGGAGAGGGAGAGAAAAGGAGGCGGGAGCAACGGAGTCCCTGATTGCCGACAGGAGGGGAAAATTTTCTTCAAGAGATACAAAGACGCTTCATTGTGCTGGCTTCATGCCCGTTTACATACAAAATGGAAAATCTACACTTTGAATCTAATTATAATAAGCTGAATATTTAGAGGCTGGGACCTGAAAGTCGGCCCGTCGATACAGAGATAAACGAGTGAAAGTATTACCCAAAAGGCCAGCTTCTGTTTCCATAGCACTGTTGCCCAAGTAACAAGGAATGACATCTGCAAGTGCCTTTTTAATATTAATGCGTTTCAAGCCGCAGAATAATTAAATCAGACTTTCAAAAAATAGCAGCAGAAATAGAGGATAACATGATACTTTCTGTACCTCACAATCGAACACTTGCCCTCAAAGTTTTTTTTTTTCTTTTTTCTTTGGTAAGGTTGTATGTTGCAGGTAAAGGGTGTCATCACAGCAAAATGGGTGGATGTGTTAATGAAACTGTACTGGCACCAAAACAAATGGGCAAACGCACATAATCAACTTTCTTTATAGCCACTGTACTATATATAGTTTTTGCACATGCCACTGATCTATCACTTCATGGTGAAGTTGTAAATTTGGGGTCGTATCTGACATTTACAGCATGATTTTTGTTTTGTTAAGCCAACATCTGCAAATGAGTCATCACGATGATGTTTTGCCCCCTAGAAATAAAACTGCAGCCTGCATAATTATATTGCTAAAACATATTTTACATTATTAATCCTCTGCATTTCATCTATGTGAAGTGTAACCTTTTTGGATTGAGGTGCACTACAAATTTTAGTTTCTGTTCTTGTATCCATTAGTTGCCCAAGATGGAAATGCATCGTACAAGGGAAATTACAGCGCTGTTAAACGTTTTAAGAGAAAACTGAAAAATACCAAACTTCCGATGAGTATACTTCTAGCTAAGAAAAATTAGTGTAGGTTTGACCGTTATAACGGTGATACAGTATCCTGCAGAATTTTGAAATCGTAGTGACATATATCGTGTGATGTGTATCATGGAGAACCCCCCCCCCCTCGCTGAAGTGTCATTTGTCAGATTTCAAAAACTAGGGTTGATTTGAAAATACCACCAAAATACTTTACACCGCACTATAATGTCTTGAAAGGGTCTGGACTCCAGACATACAAATTATTGTTGGATTTGACTGCTTTGTAGAAACTATTTTATTTACTCATAGAAGGTAATGATGTTGAACAAGTTGTTCCATACAGGGTTATAAACTAAAAACCATCAAGACCAAAAAAAGCCTCACTCCCCTTAATTAAAAATGTCTGTATGCTTACCATTTTCAGAACTTTAAGACTTAAGGTATGACTCAAGTTGCAAAGATAATCCCTTCCTATAGGTATTGACCTGTACATCTACATCTGGTGCAGGGATTATTTACATTAACATTTTACACATTTAGCAAACACTTTTGTCCTAAGCGAGGTAGAAATAGACAAATAGCACAGTGCAAACATACGGCTGTCGAATGTGCACGAAGTACGGCTAGGCTGAGCTTCCAGGGAATAACCAGAGATAAGTGTATGCAGAATCGGAGCAGGAGCTACACAACAAGTTCTAACAAAGCCAGAACCTAATAAGGCTATTCAAGGGCCAGAAGAGCAACATAAAGGCATTCATGGGATATAAAGAGGCATCAGGCTAGTAAAGAAATTAATGTTTTATTACTTGCTATTTATTTATTATCATGTTCTACGGTGATTCAAATACAACGGAAAATTACCCATAAAAGGTAAACACATAACACTTAAAATAATAAATTATGCGTATATGCGGCACTTGTGCTGGACGGGTGGGGTATAAATGTGGCACGAGAGCAGAGACGATCGTCCTTGTAAAGTCTATTTATTTTGGATAGTTGAATTTGAATTGAATCACAGATAAAACTGTATATGTTTTTTTTTATTATTAGGCTGTAAGGACCTGAATTTGCCGCTGCACAAACACAAAATGTGCGGGGAAGAAAAATGTGTTTGTATTCCAGAGTTAAGGTAGCGGTAGGGAATGATTCAATCACTGAAGCGAAACTGGGAAGCGTTATAAACATCTGAGTGGGAGTATTTATATGATGCTGTTCAAAAGGGGGAAATATCAGAGGAGGAATAACTCAATCTGCTTTACTTTTAAATCTTCAATATAACCCCCGAGTCGGCAGCGTTCCTTGGCATTTAATTCAGCGGCAAAAACCGAAAACAGCTTATCTAGAAAAATCAGAGAACACGTACAGAGCGCGGGCTAAAATGCATAATGCATGAGAGCGGCGCTAATGGGTTATTCATTGTGCGAGGGGGGATACAGGATATGTTTTTTGGCTTTCCGTATCATAAAAGGGATGGGATGAGAAGGGAAGGGAAGGGGGGGAAATAAATCAGAGTTTGGAAATTTGCATGTTATTTTCTGGTCAGGGTAATCTGACGGCTAACGCTCGAGCGGCGCTCGCCGCATAATGGCTCCGGCCACGATTAGTATTCCGGGAAAACGGCGGACATTAGCGGCCAGGCGCTGACGGGGCCCGGGGAGCCGTCGGCAGACATCTGCGAGGGCGCACGTCTTACAAAGGGGGCTCTCGCTCTCTCGCTTCCTTTTTTAATTGTTTGGTATTCATTAATGCGACAGCTTTTCAATTTCCACCCCCAGCTGTCAGAAAAGTGGGACGAAGGTGCGTTCTCGGGCCGAGGCGTACCCACGTAATTAACACCGGGAAGATGCTCCTGCGAGTCTCAAAAATGACAATTTAACCAAAATATTTTTAACCTGAGAGCTCGGCTACAGAGGAGAGTAACAGAAATGTCTGAGGAACTCCTTGAATTATCTGGACCCCATTGGTATTTTATTGTGAAAAGTCAACAAAATACATAAATATATTTATCATTTATACGACAGGAGAGTATTTCTGGGTCTTTCTGAGAAAACGCTGATTCTGAGGATGCTCTCGGTTTGTTTACAAATCTCGGGTCAGCACACGGCCTGTTTAATATCACATGAGTGTCCGTGGGCCACAAGTGTGAGAAGCTGGGGGGGGCATCGTCCTTACCGCAGGTGTTGAGGGGGGAGCCGAGGGCGGCGGGGGCCAGGCTGGGCTTGGAGGAGGGGGCCAGGGAGGAGACGGCGGCGGCGGGGGGGACGCTGTGCATGGAGGGTGGAGGCCGCTCCCCTGGCTCCATATCTGTCAAACACAATCCAATCAGCGCACTTAGAAGCGAGAAAAAGAAAAGGGGAAAACACACTCACTCACTCACTCACACACTCACTCACACACACACCCCACTGAGAGTCACGCTTCACGTCTGGATCACCCCTGCAAGATCACGGCATGTAACGTTAGCCATTTGCCTTAAAACCTACAGAACTGGATGCAACTTTCTGCAAAAAGAATATGCTAAAAACATGGGGGGGTTTCAAGAAGACAAAAGACACCAAGTGCGGTGAAGAGACTGTAGAGAAAATGGGGGGGGGCATCAAACGCACCGGGGCCAGGCCTGAGCAGCCAGCAGTGACAGTGACCAGTCCTTCTGGTGAATGGACCCCTGTCCCAAAACGCCTGTTCAGCACTCAGATTAAGCCCCAAAATGACTACTTCATTTGCTTTGTTATTTTTGTGGCAGTACTCCGCACGCTACTTAAGTTATCCATCTCAGAGTTCACCCAAACCACATCCCAAATCCTAAACAAGGCGCAAACCCAGATCTTCCTGTACAGCTCCGCTGGCTTTGTTATCGTATCAATATGCCTAAACAATCTCTAAACCTCCCCCACAACTGCCCTCTGCAGCAGGAGCTGATTAAATCTGGGAGACGGAACCGTCCCGTGAATATCAAGTAACAGCTCCCACCAGGCAGAACATGCACTAGGAGCGGCCAGTCTCCTCCCTACAGATGAGGTCCGGGCCGATTGGACCTGAGCTGAAGTCGTGCTGTTGCCACCAATCAGATTATGCCATGTCAGAGGCAACATCTGCTAGACAACGTACAGGTGCTAAAGTAATCAGAAAAAAACAGTAAATATATAAAACAAAGACAGATTCACATGCAAGGCACAAAAAAAAAACACATTCCAATATCCACGTGTGTACACATGCACAAAAACATCTCTGCACACCTTGACAATTCTCGGGGATTTCTCAACAGGCCGCACACCGCTGTCTTGCACTGCGTTAAGTCATGAGGAAATTATTTCCTCTTGAGCAACTTATTTTCCCTCCATTTGAAATCAAGTCTGTTTTTTTCTCAGCTCCCCAGTTATCTCCCTCTCAAAAAAGAAAAAAAAATACCCCCCCAGTAGCTGGGAGGGATGTGGAAATAAATAGGTGCTTTCAGACATATTTCAGAAACCCAGAAGGGCCTCAAGAAATAAATTTGACTAGGGGGAAAATCACACACAACAGTAAATTACAATAATAATGCATTTCGGTATTTAAGAAGCCGATTGGCTTAATTATCAGGAATTAAAATGGGTTTAGCATCAGAATTAGCTTGATTGTAACGGTAATTAACATCACGGCACAGTAGTAGCTATACTGCGTGATGTATAATCTCTGCACGCGATTAAATTAATTTGACTTGGGTGTGCAACCAATCTTGAGTCACTGACAGCATGTGGAGTGCGGAACACGCAGTGGAGCCATTACAAACAGTGGTCTGTGGGGGGGGGGGAACATGCTAATGGAGTAGGAATGATTTATAGGGCGTGTGAATCCACCGGAATCAAAGTCAGGGCGACAAGTATTACTCTAAACACAACAACACAATGCAGCTGCCATACAGTAAAAAGACCCCCCCCCCCCAAGAAAAAACTGTCAATATTAGGATCTGTGTTTTTTCCAGCAATGTGGCAACGTGTTACGCACCTGAAATGCCACTGATTACTTAAATGCCAAGGGGGCATTATGTGGTTGCTTATAGGATAAATGTCACTCCTCTGCCTCTGTATCCCGCGCTCCGCTCGGAGATCTTTTATTATCTTATTTTTGTTGTATTCCGGGGGCCGGCTGGGCTTCCTTATTATCCGCCTCTGTAACAGATGGTCGATGCCGACAGCGATAATCCCGCAACAGAGTCATCAGCACGGATCAGCAGTAATCAGGGTGCAGACACAATGTCTTTTTCGACTAATGGAAGGCGTATTATATGGAGGGCCGTGACCCCATTCAAAGTCAGGGAGCTGCCACGTGACCCCCCCCCCCCTCCAAACACATTACCCGGCTGGGCCTGCTTACACCCATGTACCGACCACACTGGTACCGATGTGCAGATCTTATTTTTTAAATATACAAAATATGTACTTGTGTTCAAACGAATACATGAAAAAAAAATCGAGATATGTGAACAAAACCATGAAAATGAAACAGATTCACTCCCCCCCCCCCAAAGAAGAGGAGATGAAGGCCTGAACATGTGGCTCAGCGACGCCCCCTAATGGCCCCATGATGACCTACACTCAGCCCCCCCCACCCACCTCCCAGACATTATTTGCACGAGTCGACTTCCTGAAGCGTTGAGTCCGCCAGGCGAGTCGCTCAGCGCGGTTGCCTGGTGACACCAGCAGCATCCATTTACCTTCCCAAACCCCACCCCCACCACCACCATCCTAATCCCGCTAAACGCAATTAGCAGAGCTTCTGTCGCAAAGGACAAATAACTGCACCACTGCCGGCTTCAGGGATCTGCAGCCGAGGGTTTTCAGACATTAATAGAAAGCATGTTCTTAATTAAAGATGAAGAAACACAGAGCCGTCATGTGCACATTAGCGACCTCTAATGACACGGTGGCAGAGCGGTGAAGCCTGCAGGACAGACTTGCACAGTGTTCCAAAGCAGTTCTGTCATACAGCTTCTGGGGGATTTCCCAGAAGGCACTAGGATCTGTGACCTGAGACACAGAGATCTGGTGTGACCCACTTGGCGTTCTGCCCTCACCTGGAGATATACAGCATGAAAAAGATAATAATGAAGATGATGATGGTAATGATGATGATATTGAAGGCTAACAGACCATGACACAGTAAAATTTAATAGGGGACAATGCAGAGTGTGTCCGTAATGCTTTAGAAATCGTGTTTAAATCGAGGGAACCAGTTCCACCAACTTAGCAAGTCGTGTTTGGTCATTTAATAGGTTTCGATCTCATGTTTATCATCGGGCCTGGCTGCAGGGGTGCGGAAAACAGAGACCGCTCCCCTTTTCAGGTGTACTTTGGACGTACCTGACAGGGTGCCTGTTCGCTAAAATGCCAACTGACACCTCAAAAGAAAAACCCATCTTCTAAATTACTACTTTAGACGGACACCCTCCCTGATTCAGGACAATAGTTAACAAGCCAAATAGTGAGACATCATACAGGTGGGGTGGGGGGGTGGTGGACAAGAGGAAGGGGCTAGGTGGACAGCGACGGCAGTGAGAGACACTGCCCCCACATACACCAAACAGCTAAAGGGATGCCTGTGAGGCGGGCTGCGATGAGTGACACCGTGTTCCCCTAACCAGATATCATACATTCCCTTCATTTTTCCAGGTATGGTTACCAATTCTTTGTAAACAATGGTATTGATTTTGACACCTTGGTTACGCTTCACACCGCGAGAAAAGCAATCCAGCTGGTTCACTTTTGGCGTCGACAGACTGGGGGAGACTGTCATGCCTCCTGGAAGCATTTCGACACTGCGGCGGCAACCAGAATTCTGAGAACCGGCAAAACCAATTTTGGGAAACTTGGCCGTGTGCCAAACCGCAGGGAGACAAACTCATTTCATAGGGTGGCTAATTTTATGCGGTTTTTTTTTCCCCATAATTAACAAAATGTGCTGCGAAAATTCAAAAGTTCCCCCCATATTTATAAAATTTTGTGGTATTTTACACAAGTAAATAAAGTTTTGCCATACACTTGCCCATCTTAAATTCTCAGAGCCTGGATTGTGTGAGTTTGTGTTTAAGTGCCCAGTGACAGACTGGCATCCCATCCAGGGCATACCCCAGCCACATGTCCTATATCGTCTGAGACAGGCTCCTGCCCCCCCCCCCCCCAACAAAAACCAGGATAACCGATTAGAAGATGGACAGAAGGATGGACAGACGGATGTACTTCTGGCAGTGCAACAGAGCCTTAGATTTACCGGAATTCAGTAATATATTGATGGATAAAAAGCAGTTTAACAGATATCTTTAATTAGTAATTGAATCAACATATAAGGGGCTCCCTCCCTGGACGAGAAGATTCATGGCCAAGCTGGTTCAAACTAAAAGGCCTACAAGGACTCACATGAATAGCTGCTAAGAGATCAGGCGTAACACAACAGCTCTACTGTGTTCACACTGTGATAAGAGTGCACACGCACGTGGAGAAATGACTTGGAGAAGGAACAGTGTGGCACGATTGTTTGGCATGGGGCATACGTCTAAGGCTTCACAGGAGGAGAATAACTCAGCGCAGAGCAGAGAGGTGTAGAAAATTAAGTTAGCATGGATAAAAGGGGAGTTTTGGGCAAGGGGAGGGGGCGATCCGTTTCAAAGAATGGGGTGGTTTAATGTGACAGACACGTGGAGAGCAGGAAGTAGGGTGCATGCCCTGAGCGCAGCGTTGGTAACTGAGCCCCAGCATGGCCTCAGTGCAGACCATCGCAGCCACGCTAACAGGACTGCCGCCTTTCCGGAACATTGAATGGGATGCATTACTCAGAAAACACACGCTCCCCCCCCCCGGGTTTATGCTAGTTGAGCTAGAGGAAAGGCAGAAGCGCTTAGTCTCCGTCCACTGATCCTCTGCCCCAGTCGTAAGGCTTCTTTTTTTAACGCGATGTCAAAAACAGTGATAAAAGGCACCACCTTTTATGCAAAATGGGATGAGTTTTGGGGGCTGAAAGGCTGGGTCATTTTGCGTTAGAAATCTCAGCCGCCCTCTCTCAGATCTCATCTTTAGGGCCGTTTCACGACTAACATTGGGATTTGGCCGTTGGATCCACAACTCCAACTTCTGCTCAAACTAGAACATCGTGAAATCATTACAGAGTCATTTCCACCTATTACTTACTGGGGGTCTGATGCATCACTAAAGATATGCAAATAAATATGCTCCTCTGAAGTTCTCATCTTCATCTATTCCTCGTTGCAGTCACGAGTTTACCGAAAACAGAGAAAGGTACGATTTCCAATCGTGGGCGTTGGGGTTTTCCTT